ATCATTAGTGAAATCCGTTGACTCTCAAATGGATGAAGAATCAACTAACTTTGTTCTTCAAATACATAATTGGAGGTTTAATTTAGTGTTATTTTGGTACGAATTAGTAGATAGTGTGTCACTGTCTGTTACGGTTTACTGTGGTAGACGGCGGTGCCGACCACTTCAGGCCACAAGCTAAAGGAGTAGACCACAAACCAGACCAAACCATAGTTTCGATCTCACGATCTAGACCAAACCATACGAAACGGTCTAGACCCCGGTTCCCCTTACAATTTGGTTTAGTTTCCCACCCTATATAACCGTGGATACCCGAAATTCGAATGGGTATGGACATGGTTTTGATTTTCTATCCGTTTCTTATGTGGGTATGGGTATTGGTAAAACCCGAACTGCTTTGGGTAAGGTAACAGATGTACAATATCCGCCCCTGACTCGACCCATTGCCATCCCTAAACTCATTCTATCAAATTACAAATATGTATTATTTATCATTAAATTAATTTGATGTTAGTGGTGTTCACATTTTTACATATTTTGTTAAATAGGTATGAACCGGCACAAACCGTTCATACCACCAAATCCAATCGTATCATTCCACTTGGTAAACTTATACAATTGTATAACCAGTTTCATAAGCTTGTTCATTAGTTCTTGCCAGCGGCCCGCTCTATGAGCTCTACAAATTCGAAGAGCGCGGCCCCTGGTCCTGTTCACTTCCATTTTCGTATCCTGTTTTCTATTTTCATGTTATAAATTTGGCAATTGAAATGAGAAAACGTGTCTACTTTTCATTCTGTTTTCTATTCGTTTCCAACTTTGAAAACAGAAAGTGGCAATTTCATGCTGTTTTCGGAAACGACAAAATGTTGTTTTCGTCTGTTTTCAACGTCTATTATATAGAATATGAAAGCTGAGTACACTTTATTGGCCCAACTTCTCTTTTACTGTTTCATTATTCGTCGTCTAGCGGAAGGAGAACAGTTTGTGAGCTCTCCTATCAACACACTCAGCTCCATCTCTCTTTGTCCTCTCACTCCCATTCCCAAAATCTCACCCCACTCCCCCCCCCCCCCAAATTTGCATGCAATCCACTTCAACACTCCAACGAAGCCACCTACCTCTTCCCCATTCCCAACACCCAATCCCCCATTCCACCGCCAGAGCGGCAGAACCTTTTACTCCAATGGCCTTTCCTTATATTCATCTCTCTTCTCTGTTGATCTTCTCCGATTGAATCCCTAGCTGGCCGGCCGTAACTCCACTAACGTTTAGATAATGTAACTCCACCAAAGTTACAACAACAAGATGAGGTATTCATTTCTTTCCTTTGTTTGGTTTGGCCAAAGTTGCTTTGGCGGGTATCCTTCCCTTTGCCTGGGTTTGTTTGTTGAGAGGTGGACGAATCGACAACGCAAGATGATTACTTCTTTATAGCAGATTTCCCCTTTCTCTTTTGGCCATAGTTGCTTGGACGGAGGTCCAAATCACTGCTCTCCCCCCTCTTCTTCTATTCATGATTGTAGATGGGATAATGAACTACCAAGAAGTTGAATCAATTAATCCCTGTCTGTATGCAGTATAGTTTCTTCTGCTTTGATTTCACTAGGATTAACAGTTTCTGATCTCCTTAGCATTCAGATACATATCCAAATTTCAGTTTGCTATTAGTTAACAATTGGAGGAGGAACACACCTCTCTGTCTCGCCTACGGAGGCCTCTGATATTTCCAGCCATTTTCACAGACCCAAACCCGTGTGATGCGTTTAGATTTATTAGAGTTTCCATAATTTGGATTAGTTATTATTATTAGTAATTTTAGGGAGAGATTATGGTAGTTGTTAGAGGGTAATGGGTTGTTGAGAGTCAATAGGCATATCCACCTTAAGTGGAGTTAGATCAGCAGCATTAGCGGATGTTAGCTCCACCTAGTTAGGATTTTTCTCTTTCATCTATGATGTATTTATATGAAGAACGAAATGGATAATAGGTAAGCAGAATTTTAGCAAAGAAACCCCCTGGTCATTTCTCGCCAAGAAAGGAGAAAACTGGTTCAATCCCGCCAAGAAAAGGGATCCATTCACTCATACGATTTCAACTCGTATCATTTGGTATCAGAGCCGTCGATCCGTGTTCGATCATGATCAGCTCAGGAAAACCATCCAGAGATGAACTCATCAATCAAATGATGGCGTCCTTGGATATTGCGATGGCAGCTTGTCGTAGAGTCATCAAGGCTTACGATAGAGTCACCGCACCACCGCCGCAAGTTGAAACTGCCGATTGGGTAGAGGACGAGGTAGATGATGCTCACGGCGCAAAACTTGCACCGCCGTTGTCGTCCTTCCCTCCTGTCGCACTGACGAGTGCCTCCGAACCACCGTCCCCACAAATCGAGACCACGACAGCCATGGAAGAGGTGGAGATTTCCGCCCCACCTGTATCGACCGCACCGCCACGATCGCAAGCTGAAGCTATAGCCGATTCGGTGGAAAAAGAAGAAGAAGACGGCGCCACATCAATTGCGCCTTCGATGTCGTCCGTCTCGCCCACAACAACTTCATCTATCGTCGAGGAGATTGATCTGGTGACCGAAGAACCCATGACAGCCACCACGCCAGCGCCGTCGCAAGCCTTAGCTGAGTCGGTGGAGGTCAAGGAAGAATATGTCGCGGATGCCCCCGATGTAGTTGTGTTGGACGTCGCTGTTGTCCGAGAGAGCGGGGTTATTGCCGCTCATGTACCACCACATCGCGCCCTAAAACATCATTATGAGGAGCAGCAAAAGGCCATCATTGTCGTCAAGCGTACTGAGCCCACATCCTCATTCATTATTAGTGGGCTTGAGGAAAGGTTCGGAGGAACAGTTTACGATGTTGGTAAGCACTCTACCTCGTTCAATTGTCATTGGGTCAATTGGAAATATAGAAAGAAGCAGATGGAAGATGGCGACCACAACAACATCAAGGGAAGTCGGGACCATATCGGTCCGAGCATGGGAGGATTGACCGATCGTTTGAGGTATGGGGTTGACCCGGTTAAGCCCACAGGTAGAGCTGCTAAAGAGAGATTGATTGGTTGTGTGATAAGTGCAATCATTGCTCGAGCTCAAGGATACAGGCGAGAGGATCGATCAACTAGGAGGGGATCAATTGTTGTTGGTGAAGGGAGTGTGAGATGCGAGCGGAAGGTGAGGGGGCCATTATTCAGCAATGTTGATGGGGCGCCAGCTCTTAGAGGACAAATAAGCATCCCTCGCCACTGTGAGCCTGGAGAAATGATAGGGGAGTGGTGGACTTGTCTCATGTATGGGAAGGCAAGTGGACGAGGTAAAAGGTACTGGAAGGGAGTAAAATTGGAGTTGGTGAACGCAAGGAATCAATTGGATGGGTCGAAAGAAATGCATTTAGGTTCCTCATCAGGTGAACATGCAGCAAAGCCAATTATTCAGTGCGTGGGTAGTGAGCAAGTTAGTTGGGTAGCTTCAGGAGCTGTTGGTGAATTCGCTTCTGCTAGAACTCGGGGCTTGGGTGGTAGTTTGACAGACCTAGTGACAAATGCGGATAGAGACAAGAAGTCTGGGTTTGCTCAAGGACTTCCAGATCCCTCTGCAAAGGAAGACCGAAGCGATGAAGTGAACCAGGACCTGTCATGAGAAGCTGGAGCTCTCTGTGATAGGAGCTGTGTGGAAGGGGTTGAGCGCAATTGGAAGTGACACAAACAACAACCTTCTTTTACGTTGATCCGAGTTGCGTAGGGTTTGAGTTAATTCGCTAATTAACTCGAACCTTGAGGACAAGGTTCTTTCGAAGGGGGAAGGAATGATGCGTATAGATTTATTAGAGTTTCCATAATTTGGATTAGTTATTATTATTAGTAATTTTAGGGAGAGATTATGGTAGTTGTTAGAGGGTAATGGGTTGTTGAGAGTCAATAGGCATATCCACCTTAAGTGGAGTTAGATCAGCAGCATTAGCGGATGTTAGCTCCACCTAGTTAGGATTTTTCTCTTTCATCTATGATGTATTTATATGAAGAACGAAATGGATAATAGGTAAGCAGAATTTTAGCAAAGAAACCCCCTGGTCATTTCTCGCCAAGAAAGGAGAAAACTGGTTCAATCCCGCCAAGAAAAGGGATCCATTCACTCATACGATTTCAACTCGGCTCTGATACCAAATGATACGAGTTGAAATCGTATGAGTGAATGGATCCCTTTTCTTGGCGGGATTGAACCAGTTTTCTCCTTTCTTGGCGAGAAATGACCAGGGGGTTTCTTTGCTAAAATTCTGCTTACCTATTATCCATTTCGTTCTTCATATAAATACATCATAGATGAAAGAGAAAAATCCTAACTAGGTGGAGCTAACATCCGCTAATGCTGCTGATCTAACTCCACTTAAGGTGGATATGCCTATTGACTCTCAACAACCCATTACCCTCTAACAACTACCATAATCTCTCCCTAAAATTACTAATAATAATAACTAATCCAAATTATGGAAACTCTAATAAATCTATACGCATCACCGTGACCCTCTTTTTCAGACTCCATTCCTGCAGCAAGGGGATTGCCCATTGACCAGTGATTGCGTTATGCTCAAAATCCTTCTCTACCAAGCTTCTTTTGTTTTCATTATTGCTGCACTTTCTTTATGCAGGTACTGTAATTCTATTTATGTTGCTGCACTTTCTTTACCTGTTGTTGCTGCAGTTAAGCTGGCTGCTATTCTAGGCTTTGATGACCTTTTTAATTCGTCAAATGCTTTGCATTTTTGCTTCAAAGATTTCCTTGAATTTTATAAGGCCATGGATTTAGCTTAATCTTGCAGTATGCTTTAGTTATTAACTTAGTTCTCTGTTTCATGGTTTCATGAAATGATGAAACAATGTCATTTTTTGCCAAATAAATCAGCTTATTGAAGATTTTGTATTTAGCATGATGCTTATATGAACATATTTATAATAACAAGTTCGTTGGCCCATCTGTAACTGCAGCATTCAACGTCGTCCTCTCAACTGCAAATGTACCATCGACACCTGCTAAGGGTTCGGATAATTCTACCACTGTCGAGCTACTTGACAACCTCCAGTCACCCGGCTCCACGGGGTATGTATTGTCTAACCTAGCTGCGTGCACATGTGGATCAGCTCAGCTTGCTTTCAGATTTCAATGTGTAGTCCTTGCGAAGTTTATTTTACATGGATGCTACAACAAGCCTTTCGTGTGCCAATTTACTTTTTGCCCTATTCCCTCCTATGTTTGACTTTATGAATAGGATAATGCAGCTTCACCTTTGTTCCTTCCTGAGCCTGCTTTCCGTCACTGATCCTCTAATTCATTTGACAGCTATGAATTTGTTCATGGGATTTCTGAACCTTTGCTTTCATTTAGTTTAAATTTTCCACAGCAGGGAACAACATTGCCAGCACACATCCAATAACAAGGATAAAGAAAAAGCTATTGTTGCTTGCCGTCAGAGTAGTCGACGGAACTGCCATGGTACATTTGTTGCCTTCCTTCTATCCAGCCTTTGATTTCGCTCCACTCATTATTATCAGTTTGTTGTTCTCATCAAACTCTTATTTTGTTTCCCTCATAGACTTAGTGATAATGATGGTTCTGCCTCCACTGGGGTAGGAGAGAACGAGAGTCAGAAGCCATTGTTGCCTGCAGGTTCACTGTAAACCATTTCACCTTCTATGTTGTCTATCAACCCTCGAGTCTCTTTCTTAGCTGTTGTCTAAACTTAGCTTTGTTCACGTGTGCTAAATCATTGTACCGCTATTCCCACTTCTTACAGCCTTGGACAATGAAGATTGAGAAGTTTTAGTAGAGTGTTCGCTCTGGAGCAAGAAGAAATAATCCAAGGAGCTTGATGATCTGCCCTTCTCCCACTTGAAGACAAAGTCTTCTAAGAGCAGGCCTGTGGTGAAGAAACTCTTCAATGAATGAAAGTCTACGACCTTTCGTGTCCTCTTTTTCATCTCAATCCTATTTTATGATGCCATGACAATTATCTTTTGTTGGTTGGGGCTGTCAACAGCCATAATATGAACCATGTTTCTCATTCCATGTTCTAAAACTGTCTTTTGCTCCAGGAGGTTGATACTTCTCTCTCATCTTCATGTAATGACTCATGTGTGTTCACCATGACTATTGGCAATCTAAATGTTGAATTCATACTTCTTTTTAGGCCGGTCATACAATGTGTTTTGTCCGTGGAAGACCTTCCATAAAAAATTGCAGAGTTTTTCAATATTCTGCTAAAGTATTAGTAGCAACTTATTACCTACAACAAATAATTACATTTTCAGAATAAAATCTTTCAAAGTGGGGGTTACTTACCCGTACTTTTTAATAGGAGAAGGATTTACATACACCCTCTTAGAAAAGAGCCCCTGATTGATTGACTTAAGGTGATGAACACCATTCCCTTTAAACTACCATGCCTCTTTGGATCCTTTTGTTCTTTATGAAACTACAGTTCATAAGTACATATGGTTCTCCACATTTTCCAAGACTGACTCCACTATGCTGAGAGTATTTGCACGACTCTTACTATACAAAAACATTGACATCCCTTTTTTTTTGTCTACCTAACATATTATAACTGTGTTATTCTTCTCTTTGCTGCAGATTTCAGGCGATTCACTTCAGTACTCATTCCCTTATAATACGATGTCATGTGTACACACTTTTGTCTTGAGCAAGGATATATTATTGGTCATTGTGTCTATGCTATTATCGGTTGCAAGCCTTTCTAAGTTGTAAGTATATGTTTTGAAATCAATAGTCTGTACGGTTCAGTTTCCTTCTGCCATTTCAAATCTATTCGGTTGAATTTGTCATCATATTTGTTGTGTAATTTGCAGTGGTTTGCTTTCGAACCCTTTGTAGTTTGTTGGACACAACTATTGTGAATAATAGGTATAAGTTCTTACAAATTACGGAAGCAAAACCCTATTCTATTTGTTTACGGCATCTTCCATGCATCATTTTAACTTTTAAGCTTCCCAACTGCTCATTTATGTTCTAAATTCTCAATTCTTTATAACCAGCTCTGTAATGTTATAATGCTCCCTCTCATCATTTACCTATTTCGAAACATGTGCAATAACAAAATGTCGAATAGTATCCAATACTTAGGGTAGATTTTTCAGAGCACCATGACAATTAACTATGGAACTTAACATGGTCTGCCAACCACACTACCAATACTCTGAAACCCAGACCACTGAGAAGAATATAAAGAACCCATCTTTTCATCAACTAACTGTCCACCATATGGTCTTGCTATTGCAAATTTAGTTCTCGCGGCGTAGGCGCGGGTATTATTTCTAGTTTTCTAAAAAACCGGAAACATAATAGTGCTCGAGCGAGCGAGCCCTCGCGCTCTGTTTTTGTTAGCGACAATCTCATGTCGAATGTCTTCCCTGCTCTGCAAAAATGGCGTACAGAACGAGACCCTCATCTCCATACTCGCCAGATGCAGCTCATTGCCACAGCTCAAGCAGATTCATGCTCTGGTCATCACTCTGTGCCTCCCTCAGGTCGATACATTCGTCTCCAAAATCGAGTCTTTCTCCCAACCCGTCAATTCGAATTGCATCGATTACTGCTACCGGGTTCTATTAAGGCTCTCGAATCCCGCTCCGACCTTCGCTTGGAATGCAGTCGTAAGAAGCTACTCCGCCACCAAATCACCAAGTAGAGCACTGTCAGCTTTCGTCCAAATGCTGCGAGCCGGAGTTCCCCCGGACCATCTCACGTACCCTTTTCTTTTCAAGGCTTCGTCCCGCCTCTTCGAGCTGAAACTCGGCCTCTCAGTCCATGCGCGGACAACAAAGACTGGGTACGATTCCGATAGGTATATAGCGAATTCCATGGTCCATATGTACGCGTCGTGTAAGGATATAGTTCGTGCACGTATGGTATTCGACGAAATTCCCGTGAAGAATCTGGTCTCGTGGAACTCAATGGTGGACGGGTACGCCAAGTGTGGAGACATGGTTTTGGCGCGTCAGGTGTTTGATCTTATGCCCGAGAGAGACGTCGTCTCGTGGAGCTCCTTGATCGATGGGTATGTTAAAGCAGGGGGATTCAAGGAAGCCATGGTGATGTTTGAGAAGATGCAGGAGGTTGCCGAAACGAAAGCCAATGAGGTGACCATGGTGAGCGTTCTGAGTGCCTGTGCCCACTTGAGCGAGCTCGAGAAAGGCAGGGAGATGCATGACTACATCACCCACAACTCCTTGCCCAAGACTCTGGTCCTGCAAACTTCTCTTGTCGACATGTACGCGAAATGCGGAGCAGTAGAGGAAGCTCTGAAGGTCTTCCGTGAGTTTCCTGTCGAGAAAACCGACGTGTTGATCTGGAACGCCATGATTGGTGGGCTTTCCACGCATGGTTTGCTCGAAGAAGGTCTTCATTTGTTCGCTGAGATGCAAAAGGCCCGGATAAAACCTGACGAGATCACATATTTATGCTTGTTGAGCGCTTGTGCGCACAGAGGGTTGGTGAACGAAGCATGGTACTTCTTCGTTTGCCTTGAAAAACATGCCATGGCGGCCAAGAGCGAGCACTATGCTTGCTTGGTCGATATGCTGGCTCGAGCTGGTCAGGTGGCAGAAGCATACGAGTTTCTAGGACGAATGCCGGTCGAGCCAACTCCTTCGATGTTGGGCGCTCTCTTCAGCGGGTGCTTGAACCACAAAAGGCTCGATCTTGCAGAGGTAATAGGGAGGAAGCTGATCGAGATGCAGCCCGATAACGACGGGAGGTATGTCGGGCTGGCGAATGTTTATGCCGAGGTGAGAAGGTGGGATGAATGCAGGGATACGAGAGGGGCGATGGAGAGGAAAGGGGTGAAGAAAACTACTGGGTACAGTCTTGTGGTCTAATTCGATTTTGTTGAGATTCATGTCTATGTACAGATTGTATAGTCTGGTTGTTGAAGTTGGATTAGTTGGCTTAGAACTCAATACAAGAATGAAGTACTACTAGAATTGAATTAAATCCACATGAATCATTGTCAAGGATGTAGTCCAAAGTGTACCAACAATCGAAATCAGGAGAAGCTAGATAGATAGATAGACAGATTGTATGGTATATATGTGATGTGAGATGGATGGGCGATGATCAAGCTTCTAGAGGTCAGCGGCGGAACTAGGAGGTGGATGAAGAGGGTCGGGCTGGCCGAGCTGGAGATGGTAAGGGCTGAAGTGAGGTGGGATGGTGGAGAGCTGGAGGACGCTGCTGGGCTCGCCGCCGCAGAATGGGAACTGCTCTTGTAGCTGCTGCAGAAGCTGATGCTGATGCTCCATTGGCTTCGCTTCTGCTGCTGCTGCAGCCACCTGCGCTTGGTGGTGGTGGTGCTGTTGATACTCCAACGCTGCCCGATTCTCCTGAATCTGAATCAATCAAGCATCAAAATTCATCACTCACTCATTCATTCACTCACTTCGAAATTAGTACTGTATATGCTCACCCAACGGAACATATTGCCGTTCTGCTCCTCCAACATCCTCTCCTGCAAAAGGATAGTTTACTACCCATTTGAGCCCTCAGTGGTGAAGTGAACAGAAGAAAGAACATATATATATATAGCTAGTGACCATGAATGAAGCAACATTATATGGATGAAAGGAATCACCTTCCTGCGTAGATTCTCCAGCTGCTGCTGCAACAGCTCGTTCTGCAGCATGCATTAATCCGTTGGCGGCGGGCAGTTACTGAATGAATGGAGGAATGAAGCATTAGGCAGTAAGGATGTACGTACCTTGCGGTCGCGGACCTTGGTGACGGAGCGTTCGAGCTGCTGCTCCAGCTGCTCCAGGTCGTGGAAAGGGATGGAGGCCATTTCCTCGCCGCCGGTGTAGCGCCTCATGCTCAGCTGGAGCTGTTTCGTCTCTCTCCTCAGCACCGCCAGCTCCCCCAGCACTTGTTCCTGCGAATGCTTTGTCATCCAAGTAATTAACATTAATTAAGTTGATCAATTAGTGGAGTGGAGATGATGGGATTATATTAGACTAAAGTTAATTACCCGATTGTCGTGCTCAGGGATGCGGGTGCCCGTTGCTTTCTGATACCTCTCTATGATCTGCTCCATCCTGCAACCACACTCATCGAAAGGTTGAAACCCTAAGTAAGGTGAGTTCCACATTAATTACTCGTTTTTGCCCCCAAAAGAAATTGAAATATTGCTTGCTGCAGGCACATGCAGAAACAGTAGTAGTACCTGAAGGGGTCGGAGGCGTACTGGCAGAGCTTGCCGGTGCTGGAGAAGATGATGAGACCGATCTGAGCATCACAAAGCACGGACAGCTCGTGGGTCTTCTTCAGCAGGCCGTTCCTGCGCTTGGAGAAGGTCACCTGCCGAGTCGTCTGGTTCTCTATCCTCTTGATCGCGATCTTCCCTCTCCCCATCCTTCTGCTGCTGGTTCCTTTGAAATATCAATACGCAGTTTTAGTTACAGATCGAAGAGATTGATTGAAGAAAGAACAATTCAAGAAAAGGGTTTTAACTCAAAAAGAAAGGAAACCATGCAGCTAGCTAGCTACTTTGTCTAAGAAAAGGAGAGCTAGGCTAGGCTAGGTAGACCACATTAAGTGTACAAGTAGCTAGCTAGCTCTGGAAATGAGTACAGCAGAAGAGAAAGAAGGAAAGAAGACCAACCCACCAGTTTCTTCTTCTTCTTCTTCTTCTTCTTAGAGTGTATTTTATGTACAAGAATTTTAAATCAATGCAGGCAGCAAAATGACTTGCCTGCCCCTTTCACATTCACGAAACTACCATTCTTGCTTGCTGGCTATTACCCAAATAGTAAGAAGATAAGTGACTACAACCCTAATTATTATCATCACTAAATATATTAATGCATGAGCATGGCATAATTAACCAGTACAATTATACCACCCAATATAATGTATAGTATACACTATCCATTCTACTGGATCATCTTAGCTAAAGTATATATCTATATAGATACAAAGGGTCCAATAATACATCAGATATAAATAAATAAACGGATAGGGTTTGCATTATAGCGTTTTTATCGTCCGCTAACCACTTTCATACTCAATACCTAATCATCAGGTCGTATATGATAATGATGCGTGAATTGACTGACACACAAAATATATTACCAGCTAAGATTGTTGGAATAGATTAGTGTTAAAATATGAAATAGTTTAATTACTACTCGTCGTATAAGTTATTGTGGTTCGCTGTTCACTAATTAGAAGATAACATTAATAGTAATTTTTTATACATTAAGCTCGCAAACTTATATTAATCGCATCTCAAATGAACCCGATAAATAAATAAAAAATGATCTAACCGCGAAGATCATGAAAGGTTCAAGACTCATAAAGAATTTGTACATAAAATATTATGTATTCAACGTAACGACAGACAATTAATTGTACCGTGTTGATTGTTAGTCACGATGCTATTCCACCTTGGAATGGGATGAGTATAACTAACTTCCTCTAATCTGTTGTCCCCAAGTAATTATGCAAAATGAAAGCTTCACCATATGTACATTTCTTGAATTTGTTGTCATCCTCCTCAAGTCTCAACTTCCAACCACCACCACCACCACCACCATCACATCTCTCTCTCTCTCTCTCTCTCTCTCTCTCCTGACTGGTTGGGGCTGTAATTAATGGCGTCTGCAGATGGCTCTACCTCAAACTTTCCAAATTCAGAAAGCCTTAACAATGGTATGGTTAGCAAACCTATGTGTGTATATACCACCATAGTAAAAGGGTCGGCCATTGGGGCAAGACAACAGTTAAGGGCAACTGCAGAGCAACGGGTCTACTATTACAGCAACCAGTGTTTAGGTTTTTAGGGTAGGAAATTAAAGGTCCAAAAAGGTACAAGACAAAGAGGTAACTATCCTTAAAATGTAGGGCCAGTCTCTCATCTGCTTCCTCAACTGACTGACACACAGAGACCTTTTGAACTTCTTTTTTTTACCACCACTTGGCCACAGTAATGACTCAGTAGAGAATCTGAACCTATTCTTTCTCTCTTTTTACCACGACCCTGGACCAATCTCCTCAGTTAAAAAAAGTTTTTGTCTCGATTCAGTCATGATGAGAGTTGGTAACTATGTAACACAAATCTGTATGAACATTTATTCACTGATTCATTCAGAGGATACGATCCCATATATATATGTATTAATGTATATCTCCCCTTTCCCTCTACTTATAATTGGTTATTGTGTACTTCTCTGTGTTGTTTGGAGGATGAATTGAATGGTATATACCATCGGGTTAGGTCCATCGTTACCTACTGTTCGTTGTTTTACAGAATTTCATGCAATGGGACGTTTGATTCACGGACGTGGGGTGGATATTTCAAAGTCATTTATTTACTCTTTTTTCGCTACATAGTTTGTTGGGAGAAAATAATTTTCACAACAAAAAAATAATTGATTGCACCTAGTTATGTATTTAAAAGTTCACTTTGATCGTGTGGATTATAACATCTAGTATATGTCGAGTTTAAAACCTTTTATCAATAATCAACCGAAGGAAAATTTTCTACATAGGTTTATGATAGATTTAGGTTATATTCAATATTTCTCGACAAAGAGTTGGGTAGCTAGCTTCAGTTACAAATATGTATTCATTATGTTAAAGACAAAATTTATTTATTAAATATCGAGTATCAGTTGGAAAATTAGTTTATACTATATTAATTTATGATAAACCTGTATTGGGATTAATTACGATTATACACGAGAAAACTCACTAGTCATGAAGAATGTATTACAAAAACACAACAACATTTGGAGATCCAAAAAACATGTTTAAATATAACTTCAAAGTATTAGTAATAATCAATAAATTCGACGGGCCAATGGTTGGGTGAAAAGCTAGTATACTCTAAGCACGCAACAATTCCAAAATCTAAATGACCATATAATAAGTCTTATTGACGCATACATGGATAAATAAGAAATTATACAATAGGGATAAAAAAAAAAAAAAATGGTGTATCCTTCCATCCAGCTCACTATCTCTTTCAATTTGGTTCTCATTATTTACCTATTCTTGATGCTGGTGTTGTCTCCATTCCTTCCTTCTCATGGAGGTATAGCCAATTCCTGTCATGAAGCACATAAACAAAGTGGGGGATTGATCGTCCAAATAGGCCATGGAAACCATCCCAATATAATTAGTTACTATTACTTACCATATACACAATGTTCTTGCTAAAACTTGTGAAACCAATGCCATGTTAACAAAGATAAAAAAGAAAAACACACACACAGAACGACTAAAATCAAATCACCCCCTTCTTCTGGTAACACTCAATGATATTATACATATGAGTCTGGTTTCTTCATTATCTATTAGTAAGCCTGCTATATATGTTACTTCCTCCCTCCATTTTCAGCTAGACACAAGTGGAGATGTAGAAAATAAAGAGGGTTGGTAAATTGAAGAGTGTGCATATTATTATTGTTGTTCTGTTTTACCAGATTGTGTGGCAACCAATAGTCAGAAAGCACACATGACAGTCCATTTCCAAGTTTCCAAACATAGGAAGGTGGCCACCAGCCTGCTGCTATAGCCAATCCATAAATGCCTGACTTGCTGTCCCATTCTAGCTAGGGTTTTGAAAGGAGCTGCTATTGGTTGCTTGGTCCTCAGATTTTCTACCCTATGCAATCTGCATTCAAATCATGGATCATCATCATTCCTTTACACACCATCCCACTTGACCAATATCATGGAGGGAACATGTTACTAGCTTTTAGGAATGGCAATGGAGCGGGTTTGGGGAGAATTTGTCTAAACCATCCCCATACCCGCTTTCAAATATCCAAACTCATACCCATGTGGGAAAGGATTCACAAACTCATCCCCATACTAGTGGGTATCGAGTACCCATGGGTAATAACCGCCCTGTACATTTAACATTATAATAGCTAAAATTCTACATGTAAAATTTCAATTATAATACTAAACGCACCTACTATTTCATAAAGTCGACAAAGAGACAATCATTCTTAATACGATTCTAAGCATCTTATTCTAAAACCAAATAAGCATCCATTAATCCATAAGATAGAGTAACAATATAAGCCAAATCATTATTCTCTGACTTTGATACATCTACTAAGTAATAACTTACTAACATATTGTTGTTAACATGAGGGAAAAAGTCAAAGAATGAAGGAAGATTTGGAGGAAATGAATTATGTTTTGATTTGGGTGGTTACTCAATTGTATTTCTACTATTTATGTGAAATGATAGATTACTCTCACCATTAATGATAGATTACAATTTAATCAATGTACTTTTTATATGTGAAGAAATGTTCTTGATGGAGCGGATATGGGTATGAGTATGGGGAGGCTAAAACCATACATGCCCAGTACCCATCTAATTGTTTGCGGGTTTTACCCATACCCGCCCCATACCCAGTCAATGCGGGGATTCCCCGCGTTGACTGGGTAGGGGGTGGTCGGATACCCGCGATCATGGGTTTGATTGCCATCCCTACTGGCTTTGCCAAGATCAATTGTGCTAAGGTGTTGACTCCATTGTCACGCATATCGTCAGATCGGTCACACTCGTGTTCTTAATCGCTGGAGACATCCAACGCACGGTGAGTATTACCACCATATATTTCGATCAGCCACTGAACTAGTTCGGTGTTATGCGTTTACGAAAATATCACGACATTCAGTCTAACAATTGAGAACACATGGGGAGGACAATCTAGATCGGCCAACGTTGTGTTAATTTAACATTCCTATTGATGTATGTAATGAGGAAGGAAATATGAAATAGAGTTTTTTTTTACCTTATTATTTTTCAACTGAGTTGGAGTGCTGGCTGCCTGCCACCTTACATTCTGCCACACTAATAATACACAGACCAGAGACTCATTATAGTTGGTTTCATGTCCACTTCACCAATCAGTCACCCTCATTCACATGCCTTTCTTTCCCCTCAGTCTTCTCTTCTTGGTTTTCACCCTAAAAATATAATCCATTCACGCAATTGCTATTCTTGGTAACTAATTTCAACCCCCAAACAAACGCAAAACCAAGACAATAACAACTGGATCACCACAGTAATCACTGCTCCTATTCAATCTACAAACATTTTTACCAACCCCTTTCCCCAGCCATAAGCAAGGGGCCTACTGAGGTTCATAATTAACACCTAGATGTGATACAAACTACATTTGCATCAACTGACCTGCTTTCCATAGTTCCTGCTAGGAATCAAAATTCAAAGGTTTCCTGGAGAAACCTTCTACCAAAACGACACTATTAGTCCTAGGTAATGTCACAACAACACTCGGTCATTTGGAACTTCCTTTTACACCACATATCGATCGCCGAGCATGTCCTACTTCGACTTTCTGCCTCGTCCTCTTGGTCTGCCCCTGCCCCTACTCTTTGTGTCTGCCGCAGTTTCCTTCTTTTCTTCACCATCCTCTTGAATGTCTAAGCTGAAGAATTCAAACAACCAAAATGGTCAAGAGAAGCAAAAGCGGTGTGGTTTCGATTCAAAAGACATTTTATCGTTAAATGACTCACTTCTCACTCCGCTCCATAACTTCCACAGCCTTGTCCATGGCATAAAGACACATCTTCTTCACCTGTTTTAGGAAGACAGTTATCAACATTGGAGAAATGCACGAGAGAACAATCTTTTCTATTGGAACATTTTGTAAGGGTAGTGGGTGCTAAATTCCGGAACATCACCTCCAACTTGTCCTCCTTAGCCCTGTGGTTTGAAGGAAGTAGGCGAAACTCTTCTGTCAAACGAATGCACTGACCCACGTTCTCTGGCGAAACAAAGTCCACAGCTACCTTTATGCACGACTATAGGGCAATGCAAAGATTTAGCAGGTCAGTCCATTAGTCTTTCTGCAGGTTATGAACAAGAGAGACAGAATGCTAACTCACCTTCAAGTTCCTCACTTGATGAGGACAGCCGGCAGGAATAAACACAGCATCTCCAAGTTTCTGAACGAATGTCCATGGTTCAATGCCTGTGATGTTGGCATAAGCATGCATCAGTAGAAAACAAACGAATCATTTGTTATAACAACATACACAGTGCATCTAAGGATTTTCCCGTCAGCAGAATCCAATGACTAACCATATTCATCCTTCAGCTTCTTTTTATGCTCTGTGGACAGATAAAAGCTCTGATCATGGATTGGGTGGATAACTTTTGGCAATGGACAACAATGAATGTGCCGAAACTCTTTAAGGTGCCTTTTAAGATAATCCTCCAGCTGAGGAACATCTTCACTACGAAAAATATCCCACAGAGCAGCTCCCTCCTCTACACTACCCTCGGTTGTACCCTTATCCTTACCTCCATCTGGGGCCATTTCTTCACTGCTTTTTTCCAACTTTGATTCCTTTGAAAGATCAGTGACAATTAGTTGACCGTCTTCATCTTGGGCCATTTCTTCACTGCTTTTTTCCAACTTTGTTTCCTTTGAAAGATCAGTGACAACTAGTTGAGCATCTTCATTTTCCATTTCGGCTATATGATTAAGATCCATACCATTTACAATGCTTCTCCCCTGAACTTCCCCATCACTATTTTTCAGCTCTGATCCTTCTACACAGGCAGACAACTTTGGCCAAGGACCTTCAAGTCCGCAAGCTACGTCCTTGTCATCTTTATCATCTGCGGGCGAGCCTTGGCAGTCCATTTTATGCATGTTCTTCTCAGGCTCACTTACAGCTTGATTGTTCCCAAATAGTTCTTTCTTATCTTGCTCGTTGTGCTTTTGCTTCAGACCCTTTATTTTATCAAGTATATTGGTGTCTTCATAAGTTGCTTCAGTAGTATGAGTCAAGATATTCACCTGAAGAAAGCAACTTTGACATAAATACACAAAAAGCGAGATCTATTAAAGACTGACCAGACAGTTAACATATCATTATGAGGTTGTCCATCTTACAAGCCACTGGAAACTAGAAGGTAATGTGGCATCAGAATCGCACGGAAAGAAACGAGTCAGAGAGTAGTGCCGTTAAAATAAAGGTCCTACCCAAAAGGTGACCGAGATGACCATCACAAATACATAGAAAGCATTGCACAATGCAGAGCGTGTTTAACTCATCTAAGGTTTTAGTTGCACTATTTTTAGTCGTGCTGTAAACATCCTTTGTCCTTCATCAAAATAACAAGTAAAAGCTGGAGCTCAAAGCTGAATTAGACAGACAATATTGACAAAAGTCCAGGTATTAACATGAAACAAAGGATTACATAAGTACATAAGACATTACCGCATCCGACATGTCACAATGAAGCTTGGTGACAGAATCACCACGGCCCAGCTCCTCAGCAAATCCATAAGCTATATATGACTTAGGCCCCAAATCTGGCTTCAAACACTCTTCAGGCAATTTGGTAGAAAGATTTAAAGGTCCATCACCAGGGTGACTATACTCCTTAAAGGGCAGACAACAATTAAATTCCAGACCATGCCGGGGCAAATTTTCATCAAACATTTTAGATGGAGGCCAATCTTTCAGCTTCAATATCTGCGGCCATCCTTCCCCATCTTGCCACCCTTTTGAGTATCCACTGAAGAACTGATGGGCATTAATTTCCACCTGCATGCACTCGCAAATTCAAAACCACCACATGAACACTTATAACTCAAATTTCAGGGAAATTAAGGATCACAATTCATCGTGTACCACCATTCTACACTAAGAAAGCTAAAAGAAACAAATTCCCAAAGCTACTAGATGCTAGCATCCAATTCCCATGCTGGAGCAGGGAAGATATAATGACAAAATGCAAGTTCATGTACTATACTTGAATGCTCTCAGTTCAACTACACAATGAAAAACTAATTTATGAAAAGATCCACCCAAACATCTTAATAGAGGCTTGCCTCGTGTGCTCATACGTGAATATTGCTTCCATCCAAGAAATGAAAAGGATTAAAAAGTTGACACTTTGGGATGCAAGAACATCCTATGGTGAAGCAGCAAAAGCTTTCATCTTTCAAGAAAATTAGCTAACACACTTTTTCTTTTTTAGTGAATTAGCTAACATACTTGAAAACATATAATTGAACATTACTAAAGATCAGAAAGCAATCTTACAGCAAGCAGTCAAACAACTTACTTCACTTTGCTCAATTAACAATACTAGAAACAATCACCATATGTTCAAACCGAGAAACCAACAATCACCTTAATACTAATAATAAAAATTATAATAGTAATAATAATTGCAAGACAACAAACCTCGCACCAGTCCAAGCATTCAATGGCCTTCAAATTGGTAAGGGCTTCGTGCTTTTTGTAGTTTGTGACTTGACGAAAGGCACGCCACATAACCATTGGCTCCCAGCTTAAACCAAAACCAGTTTCAAGCACATTGCTTACAAGGACAGGCTGAGATTTCAACCAGTGACACTGAAAGTGCTTTATATCCTCCTCTTTGATATCTCTAGCCCTTGGATAGAACAAATAATTGTCATCAGAAGCTTCACGATTAGCAGCTTTTAATAGCTCATCATGGTCGCTTCTTTCCTCGTCACTTGTCATACTGGAGCACACACATTGTTCAGCTTGAGGTCTAGATAATTCCAGATTAAATCTCTGGGCAGTATCCTCTGCCTTCTTCACCAAAGCTGACAACCAACTTCCTGAATGAACTGATTTCAATTCTAGAGTCCCACTACCACAGCCACAAAGAACACTTCCATCTTTATTTGTAGTCCAGCCAAAGCATGATTTCACATGGTCCTCCGAGCTACTTGCAACAGGTATGTCATTTAGAGGAGGAACAACTTTTTCACCCTCTCCACCATGTAAATAAGAGAACCCTCTGTTGATAAATTCCACAACAACTTCTGACCTGCCATCATGTGCGCATCCATGACGGATCTCCCGGCAGCAAATAAGGCAGAGATCAGAGGAGCAGTTAGAACAACTCCTGTGATAATCGAAAATAGAAGTCTTGCAATTGTCACTGCAACAAAGACAAACAATTACAAAAAAGAGGGGATTCACGCCAAGCATTGGCAAGGCACTCAGAGATTAACAAGTGGAAAACTATATGAATATCTTTACCAGAACATTCGCTCATTTAGAGGACAGTTTGCCTCTGGTACCACCAACTCTTCAAGTGATATCCCTGCAGAAAAGAAAAGAAATAACTTGAAGGATGAGGGAAGAACAGCTCCAGCAGCAAAACCCACAAGAAAGAGCAGAAGCCTGGCACACTTCTACTAACACACAAATATGAGAGATGGGAAATTCACAGCAGGAAACCAAAAGTGAAGTACATATGCAAAAAGTTAAAACCCACGGATACAACAAGCACTAATCGATATGAACAAACTGGAGACTTGGAAGAAGGAATTAAACAGTATATACAACAAGTATCTGAAGAAAATGGACAGTGTTTGGTATGTTATCCCAGACATATTTGACAGGAACCAAATTACCTTGTATCCCTGCCTCAATCTTTCTCTCTGTCATTTGCTCTTCATCTAACTGCTTCAAGTGCGGTAAAAGCAACTGGATCATATACTTTGAACATTCTACTTCCTTCTCCTTAGTGAGCTCCAACCTCTGATTATTCAGTTCCTGAAGATTTTCCATTTGTTCACTGATTGCAATACCTACCTCGTCAAAGTGAGCTTGAGTTCACAAGGGAAAGATACCAACCTTGATTTTATAATCTAGGCGCAAGCATGCTTTGCAATTGCAATTGTTGCAGCATGCTGGGCAGGCTTTGGCAATGTCATTCTTTGACCTCTCTGGATACCTACAGAATAAAATGCAAAACTTTCAGCAGTTAAAGCACGGGGCATTAACTAAATGGAATTTCAGTTAGAATATAATGAAATGACACCAAAACCTGCACATTTGAGATAGAATTGTCTATTCTGTTTCATTCATTCTAATATCAAAATTAGGCCCATCAAATGCACACATCAAATGAGAACAAGAAAAACCAGAACATTGCGGATGGGCTTGACAAACTGTCAAATTACCCCTCAAAACCAATAATAATGCAAGATCAGGTTGCACAACAAAGATAACAGGGAGAAAGAAATCATTCAACAGGAATCAAGAAAACCAAACAAACAAATCAGACTTAAGATGTCCATCAGGGAGAGTTGTTAAGATATGGATACGAAGATGGCAGTCATATATCAAGGTTCCATGCCTCATTTGTCAATAACCACAAAAGTAAAGCTTAGGTTCCCGACGAACTAAGCTTAACTAATTCTATCTCTCCTGTAAAAGAACAATTGTGAGTTTGATCCAAGCATACCAGGCCTCTATGCATTTGTAACAATATCGCTTGGTTTTACATAGCTGACAACACATAACTGGACCTTTATCGTTCCTTTTGCATTGATGACAATTAAATCGCCACTTCTCTTTACCCTGCATATCATGAACACAATCCAGAAGTCACCAAACCAATTGCTTCACCAAGAAAATAATACAGCAAACACGTGGCAATGGCATATGTACCTCCTTAGGATTGAGGTGTGCACCATGACCAGATCTGCAAGTTCTACTCTGCAACATGGTAGTAGAAGAACCAGCTTCTCTTTTAAGACTACCCTTCTTTCTACCACGCTTCTTTGACTCTCTTTCACCTACTCGTGCTTCACCTCCTACAGTCAAATCAGAACCAACACTGAAATCCATTTCCTTCCTTCTACCTCGCTTCTTGCCTGTCGTTTTCTCTGGGATCTCTTCTTCCCAGTCGCCTAGTCCATAATTCTCAGAAAAGCTAACTTTCTTCGGTTCAATAGTTCTCAGTCTTTTTTTTATTGGACCGAACTCCCCGCTATACTCACCGCCACTAATCGCTTGCTTCCTAACTGTCTGAGCTTTTCCCTGCTCACCCCCTTCGCTCAAAGCCACCGATTGATTCTTGGGCTTCCTACCACGCTTCTTGGACACGTTCACGCCGCTACTCTGAACTGCCTCCTTGGCTTCTCCCTGATCACCAGCTTCCCTCGAATCCTCCACCTGATTCTTGGGTTTGCTACCACGCTTCTTAGGCAAACTCACGCCGCTACTCTCAACTGCCTCCTTGACTCCACCCAGCCCACCACCTTCACTCAAAGCCTCAACCTGATTCCCCGGCTTCCTACCGCGCTTCTTCGGCACAAGCACATCGCTACTTTCAACCGCCTTCTCGACTTCTCCCTGCTTGCTAGATTCACCCAAACCCTCAAACTGCTTCTTCGGCTTCCTACCGCGCTTCTTCGGCACATGGCCACTCTCAGCTGCCGTCTCGGCTTCCCCCTGCCGGCTAACTTCAATCAATCCATCGAACCGCTTCTTCGGCTTCCTACCGCTCTTCTTGGGCACACGGATGTCTTCACTCTCGCCAGCTTCCTTCAAAGCCTTCGCCGGCTTCCTAGCCTTCCTGCCCCACCCCGGGAGCAAAGCGGCAACTGGCTCCTTGAGCCAGCATTGTAGACTAGGTTGATTCCCCCCACCCTCCGGCGCCCCAGCCGCTTCCATTTCCCCCCTGATGGAACTACCGCTTCTTCACAGGGAGAGCAGAAGACAGAGGTGGAGAAGAAACTACTGTGAAAGGTGCAGAAGAAAGAAGTCGGATAGATTTTGATTTTGCAAGGTTTTGAAAAAAAATGGCGCCAAAATTCTAGGGCTTCGCATTTGGGGGCGGAAGTTCTGGAGCGATTAGGTTTGCTGATTTTCCGTTTCCGGCCAGAATATAAGCTCTTTGGTTCATCGTAGAGAGTGCGAGCGGGATGGGGTGCGATTTGCGAGAAAGCACCCGTGCGAATCATTTCACACGAGTTTACCACCGGCCTCGGACACGTGTCCACACTGTATTATGGGCCAAATAAGTGGGCTATTTTACTTTTATTTGTCAAACATGGGCTTACAAGGCCCAAAAAATGAAACTTCGACCAACAAGATTCTTTTTTAATCAGAATAACAAAAAGTAAGTATGCTATATAGTTCAGGTCAGAATAACAAAACAATTCTCGATATTATAGGTCAAAGTAAAAAATTTATCTATAGTTCGGGTCAAATTAAAGTATTAACTTTACAAGGGACCAACAAGAAACTTGATGGCACAAAATTGCAGAAATTCCTGAACATGCCTGCCAATGTCAGGATCAAATAACAAACCATGAACATGAAATCAGAAAATGCTCTATTCAAACCGCATGTTAGTCCCCAGACGATTTACTTTACAAGATCAGATTCCTTCAGCTTCTGAGGATTGAACCATTTGAACTTTGAAGCTTCACCGGTCAGGTTGTAAAAGGGAAAACTGAGACGGCTAGTTCTTTTCTTACACATTAACTAGCCAGAGAACAGGTTACATTGCTCAAGTAGGGACAGAGAAAGAAGTAAACATCCAGAAAAGTCCAGGAGATCTGAAAACACATCCATCAGCTTCACAAACACAGCCCCAAGAGACGGCAGCAGAGGCACTTACCATGTCATTCCGAGGAATTCCTTCTGTGACATTACATACAAACAACAAGGTCGAGTTCAGCTTCCACAGCCTCCATAATAGCTGCAGCAGCAGCAAACGGAGCAAGAATCACAGGTGAACTAGCTTTTGCTCCTGCAACACAGCTTTGTTGCTACCACCTACCCTCCAACCTGTTACAGAAATGATCAAAAGAAAAGACCAAGACAATGGAATTACAAGCAAAATATAAAGTCAGTAAGTAGATATCATGTCTTAGAACGTACAATCCACCAGTGCCATGTACAATATGAAAGCAACCCACAGCAGTTGCTTGCGAATAGAGCTCCCACTCGTATGGAAAGCGACCTTCCGTCGCAAAATATTCGAGCTTTCGTTTGTCAAAGATCCTCTGCGATCGGTAACAGGGAAAACTTAGACAAACTCGAACAACAGTCGACTCCATAACATAACATTGCATACAAACCACAGCAAACTCTAAAGCAGGCTATTAAGTAAGAGTTGCGGTAATCTAGTTGCTCTATATCGAAGTTGAGGGATTAGTGCATCCTACGCACTTGATTAAGGTGACCATGTTGGTAATTAGGCTGAAAACAAAACAAAACTATCCTGTTTAGAGGTTAGAGACAAAAGCAGAACTGTAAAGGTACAGCCAGACTGTGACCCTTTAGGCTTAAACAAATATAAAGTAGAAAAGAAGCATCGTGATTCATGATTCGATGACCCAGACGAGCAATAAACAAACAAAAAACGAACGAAAATGAAGTACGAAAAGATTCGGATTGAGGGTTGGGACAGGAAGCTCCACCATTGATGCCACCACCATCCACCTACTCACAGCTCCAGTCTCCGGCCCCACTGCTTCTACATTTCTGCAACTCCACTATGACAACGACTCGCGGTGGATCGCCATGGGCAGATCTCCCCGAGGAGATCCTGGATGCCATCGGCAGCCGCGTCGGTCGCCCCGTCGACGTTCTCACCTTCCGATCCGTCTGCTATTCATGGCGCTCCGCCGTCCCCACCCCTGACTTCGACCAACTGATTCCACCCGTCGAGGTCAGGCTACCTTACCCCGGCGACATCGACGGCTTCCTCATTCCCTCCACCATGTGCTGTGTGGAGTTTCAGCCTCCGATTCCCAATGATGATTCAATCGATGGTGATGCACCGCCGCAGGCAGACGGCGGCTGGCTGATCAAGATCGAGGAATCCTCCCGCGGCAAGCTGCAGCTTCTGAACCCAATCTCCAACCTCAAGCTCCACTCCTCTCCGATTCAATTGAGCTTGCTCGACTTTCGGGCCGTCCAATTATGCACCTCGTTCCGCCTCAGCTACCAGATTGGGTTTCCAGCCTTCGAGATCAACAAGGTCCTCCCCTTTCCCCCCGCCGCCTCGGCGGCGTCTCCACCGCCCCAACAGTCGACGGTCACCGTCATCGCCATTTTCCACGAAGGCAGAATAGGCTACTGGAGGAAAGGAGACCAGCACTGGACTTACTTAGACAGCAGAAACTTCGATTACGACGATATAATCCTCCACCAAGCTCGGTATCACGTAATCGACAGATTGGGGAAGCTGTCGCTCATCGATTCGTCTCTTAGATTCGACAAATCCTACTCGCCGCCGCAGTTCCTCCACGACGGATCCGGCGGCGGCGGGCAGAAGAATCTGGTGGAGTCCGGCGGCGATCTGTATCTGGTCGATAGGTATTTGGATGGGAGGAGGAGGAATTCCAAGGATGTGGACGATGCGATTACCAACAGCTTCAACCCAATCCGATACCTTGTGGGAACGGGGAGGAACAGGAACTGGAACCCCAGAGCGGTGGATTTCAAGGTCTACAAGCTGGATGAGGAAATGAGGGAATGGGTTGAAGTGAAGTCGTTGGGGGATGATGATACAGTGTTTGTGCTGACGACGGAGTGCTGTTTCTCGGCTCCGGCTGCACAGATCGCCGGCGGGAGAAAAGACTGCATTTACTACTCGGATGACGACGACTATGTGGCCAGAACCATGTTGACTACTGACGGCATTCGGATGTTCCAGTTGGAGGATGGCAGTATTCAGGAAGTGAAATCGTTGCCTCGCGAGTCTGATATTTTTCTACCTCCTGGCTTTAGTGTGGAGTTTTAAAAATGGACCGCCATTGTTGACTTTGTTGTAGCTTCACCTGGTTTGTGAACCATTGGAATTCAATTAAGCTTCATCTTTTTCCGCCATCTTTCGATTTCAGCTGTAGAATGATTCAGGCCCTATCTGATACTTACCTATCCAACTAACTCAGGTTCCAAGATTGGAAAAAGGAACGACCATTAGCCTGCAAAAGGGTCTTTTATCTTTTAACCTTCAGCGTAACAAAAATTATTTTTCACACTGCAGAGCAGTGGAGTGAGTAAAAGGAGAGCTCTTACAAAAAGCAAAGGTTTTTACAACTCTCATGGGGCAGGTCGATGCCTTATCAATCAAGAAACTTTCCTCCGAACAGGCTGATGCCTTGTCAATCAAGAAACTTTCCTCTGAACTCCTTTCAGACATCGTTGAAAAAGGCAACAGAAAAACAGCTATGCAAATCAAGTCTGAAGTAAAACCTGCTACTCAATGGAAACACATGCTTAGGTTCAATTAACCAGACCCCTCTCCTTGAATACGTTGAACATGGCGGTACCAATCTTTGCTGGAGATTCAACTACAGTCACCCCGGCTTCCTTAAGCGTCTTGATCTTGTCTTGTGCGGTTCCCTTTCCGCCCGAGACGATAGCTGCACCACACACCAACCCAAAGGTAAATGTTACGATTGTAAGAGGAATAGAACCAAGTAAACATCTCATTCCACTGATCTAAAGATGTAGTAGTACCTCCAGCATGGCCCATACGACGTCCAGGTGGAGCAGTGAGTCCAGCAATGAATGCAACGATTGGCTTTTCTGTCTTGCTCGCCTGTTTTCAGTCATAACAAACTCAGCATTCGGTTTCGAGAATGGAGAGCAAATCCCTCCAAGTAACAGATAGTTCATAATTCAAGAATCTTATTTTTGGTTTGGTTTAATGTTCTGTCACGGAAAAAAGGAGGGCAGCTCCAGTGATTAAACGAATTAACAAGCGACTTGATTTTGCTCAAATCCACCAACCCATATCTCGTACAACTCACAGTTCATCAATACAGAGTCCGTGAATTAATATACTAAAAATGTCAGGATTGAAGTAATCACTTAAAGCCATTTCGGATTTTATTTTAATGCAGATAATTGGAAGTTAGGAAAAGCTCTAAAAGCATCCTATAGGATATGCTAACTAAGTTAATCCAGTTGCACCACAGTCCACAAGAGGAAAATACACTTCATATGCAGAGGACAGAACTATTGATGACATTTTATTCAAAACTCATACCTTTATTAGAGCAGCAGCTTCCTCTTCTGCAGTACCTCCAATCTCACCAATAAGAACGATACCTGTGAAGGAACCGTATATAACATCATCGCAATTACTTGCAAAATGATATTAAGCTATTGTAGTTGTCACTGAACACGAAGACAAAATAGCCAAGCCTTTCTAGAAAGTTTCACTGCAGGACTCTGGGAGCTTTCAACATTGTATATGCAAATGTTCCCACTGTCACTAACAGTGGACAAAGGGCATATGACCTAAGGGATATTTCTAGGTTCTTTGTTAGTGCTCAATATGAGTTTGTGACTTGTCCTTTCTCAGTCTAGGTAATCCAAAATGCAGTTAATACACAGGCATCCTTTAACCAGAAATTAAGGCCATGACCAATTCAAGTCTGGAGGATTTACCTTCGGTCTGAGGATCTGCCAGAAACTTCTCCATGCAGTCAACAAAGTTTGTCCCATTGAAAGGATCACCACCAATACCTACACATGTGGATTGCCCAAGACCAACCGCTGTTGTTTGAAAAACCTGAAGTTACACAGAATCAAGGCCTTCAATTAAAATTCGTAAGCATGTCACATACTCAAATACTCAATGCATTAGCTGACTGCATCACATATACACAAACACACCAAAGAGCCATCTCCGTGTTGATATGATAAACCAGAGGTTGCAATCAACAGGTAGACTAGACAAATGGTAGCACGGAAATAAACAAGTAAAGGCATCAATCTAGCATGAGATCTTGCAAGAAACTTAGTTTAAATGCACAAGAAACAATGGACAATATTCCACAAAAAGATCAGCACTCACGGCTTCATATGTCAACGTGCCCGAACGAGAAACAATTCCAATACGCCCTGGTTTGTGAATATATCCAGGCATGATTCCAATCTTGCACTCTCCAGGTTTGATGATACCAGGGCAATTAGGACCAATTAGTCTTGTTTTGGATTGCCTTTGAAGTGCGGCCTTCACACGAACCTGTAGCCAACGGAAATGATCTCAAACTGGCAGTACAAAATAATAATTTGAAGAGAGCTGTTCAAATAGAAGACAGAAAAGAGAAATTTTCAGACATCGGAACTAATTTCTGTAACAGTGGAGGTAAGAAAAGGTCCAACAACATAACAAACGAAGGCACAACACACATCCTCAAATAATAAACTATGCCAGATACGAAAACGCTCTAGTTATACTGGCATCTACGTCATTACAAGATCAACTTCCTTCAGCTTCCAAGGATTGAAGTTTCACCAGCCGGGATATCAAGGATAAAATGAGATGGCTGGTACTTCACTAAAATTGGCTGACACATTAACTAGCAAGAGGACAAGTTACATTGCTCTAGGTTACAGTAATCAGCTAACAAAGACGGTTCCCGTTACTGGCAGCAAGGCAGGGAATTTCACATACCATGTCATGCTGAGGAATTCCTTCTGTGATACAAACAACAAGGTCCAATTCAGCTTCCATGGCCTCCATAATGGCCGCAGCAGCAAAGGGTGGAGGCACATAAATCACGGATGCATTAGCTTTTGTCTCGGCCTTTGCCTCCGCAACGGAGTTGAAGACAGGAAGCCCCAAGTGTTCTGTGCCACCCTTCTTCGGTGTGACTCCTCCAACCTGTTTCAGAAATCACAAGCAAAGACTGATAACACTGAAACCAAGCAAAATATTAACTCACCATCCGAGTAAGGAGCCATAGCAAAAAAATCGACCAATGCCATTTCCAGAAAGTAATACAACCCACTCAGGGAAACCTTGACAAACTGAATTCCACATTTCTCCAGCACCACAAAACCATACTCAATACATGAATACAAAGGGATGCCTACTCACAGACGGCAGGAATACCGGCTCGGCTATGGAAAGCTAAAATACCCTAATTCCAAAGCAAACCCACACACCACCAAACCTTGCGGAAACAGTAGGCAACGTTGAGAAAGGCGGAGGCTAAAAAAATTAGGGAGTTTACCATCTTGGTGCCATATTCGATGGCTTGTTCGGTGTGGAAGGTGCCGTTCTTGCCGGTGATGCCCTGGCAGATGATGCGGGTGTTCTTGTCGACGAAGACCGCCGGCGGGGGAGGCGGGGCGGCGGCGAAGGAGCGCGATTGCGATAGAGAATGGGACGATGAAGAGGAGGGCGGGGTGATCCGGGGACTGGGAGAGCGGAGCTTGGAGGACAGGGACGCGACCAGCCTGGTGGCTTGGCGAGCCATTTGTGCCGATCTCTTGTTCACAATCAGAGCCTGACGGGGAAGAAGAACGGCAGCGCGAGATCTCAAGGCGAAGTAATTGGGAATAAGTCTTTTCGCCAAGTGGTAGGGGAAAATGGGAGAAAGAAAGGTTTTTTGGGGTGTGATCAAACGCAAAAAGTGAAAGTCGTCGTTCCGGACTTTCGGGTTCGATTGACCATTATGCGGGTTGGCCCGGCCCTGGCAGCCGGCGAGAGGAGCAGAGAGAAAGAAACTCTATTTTAAGTAACCCTATTTAGTTTATACTTTTTACGTATTTTTAAGACAAATATTACCGTATTTATTTATGACATACTGTGTGCCCTGAAACAGTTTTTGGTGTGTGCCCGGCTCCGGCCAAAAAGTGCTTTTTAATATAAAAAGTTATGTAATTTATAATATAAAATATAAAAAAAAATTACAAACAATAAAATGAAGTGAATATGAATCTTGTTACATTTCTTTTATACTAAATAACTAGCATGGCCCCGGCCAGTTGGCCGGAGGAAGGTGAGGTATGAAATTTGATAATGTAATGGGTATATAGCTTATTGTTGTATAGTTTTTTTGAAAAATACGTGATAAAAATAGTGAATTTTAGCAGAAAAGAGACATGAATGATGCAACGAATAAAAAATCGGCCTTATGAACCAAAATCAAGAACCTGTTACCTTGTGAAACAATATTGTTTCTGGTAATATGATGAGGTGGAGTAAGTATTATAGAAACCGAATTCCAGAAAATCGAATAAAAAATCGCATATCCCATCGGTTTTCGGGAAATGAGCATCTCACAATCGTTGCTAGCTTTTACTCGGCCCGTTGGCCGATTAATTTGCTTTATAAAACTTTCATCATGTTGTTATTGTGCTTTCTAGTTTATGTCATGCCATGATAAAATCTAAGGAAATCAAGAACGAACAACACGATTTGGATAGGAACCGCCGTTGTCGTATCCCTAGAAAATGGTGGTAAATACGGACTCACCTGCCAAACTGGTTTGGATTGAGATTTTTATCGGGTATCAGGGAACCATGTGATTATAAATTAGACTTGATCAAAACGGGCCAAAACTTGAAATTCAGCCTGTTTGACCGACCCATGCCAAATTCTAATTATTCTTTACTTTTAAACTTTCTATTTGAAAATAAAAAATAGTGAAAGAAAAGAGATGACTGCAATTCGCATTTGCACATCACTTATTCGGGAATAAAACCATAGAAATGCAAAAGGAAGTGAAAATGTTTAGGATCGTTTTAATGTTTAAAATAACCAAATAGATCTTTCTGTTTAGTTTTTTACTAACAAATACCAAACGATTCCCTATAAAATACACTATAATTTGATCATTATAATATCAAATAATTATATAATATATATTTGAAATGATAAAAATTGGACTAATTGGGTTGGTCGAGGTCGAACCATTGAATAACTTTAAAATACATTATATTTTAGCCACTAAGATATAAAATAATAGCATAATATATATTATGTCAGAGAAAATAGCTTGTTTTAGAATGTCAAACCAATGATGTTCATTTGTTTTACTTGATGGTCAAATCCCGTGTAGGTCAGGCCCATTCAACTCTTTTATTTTATGGTTAGCGGTTAGCCCATTAGATACCATGTATTAGTTTATTGTTAAATTTTTTATTTTTAGCAATAAAAAGAAGTATTTTTTTGCCTTTTCATATATATTTTATCACCACAGAGAAATAAAAGGGCTCACAGAAAAAAATGACACTCCTGGACCCGTTTAAATTCGCATGTGTACGGTAAGTTGGTCCGTTCCACAGAGGAAAGAGAAAAAAATAGGCACTCTCTATTCTACCCTTCCTACAAACACTCCTGGAGCAAGGAATTTGAAATAGGGGAAGGTTTTTTCCTCACTACTATTATATGTTTTTAATTTAAAAAGATACAACAAATGTACTTAGTCTGATTGGTTATAATCCTTGCTTTTCTTTAAAATGGTCATGGTTCGAATCTCAGTATGTGTCTTTTTAATGAATAAAAAAAAGTAATTGTGAAGACCAAAATGTCCTTCCTACTTTCACTCTCGTTGCAGGAAATTTGAAATGGAGCTCCAGTTTTTTCCTTCGGCGTATTATATTATGTGTAGATATTTTTTTTGCCTTTTAATATATATTTTATCACCATGGAGAAATAAAAGGGCTCAAAGAAAAAAAAATGACACTCCTGGACCCGTTTAAATTCGCATGTGTACGGTAGGTTGGCCCGTTCCACAGAGGAAAGAGAAAAAAATAGACATTTTCTATTCTACCCTTCCTACAAACACTCATGGAGCAGGGATTTTGAAATAGGGGAAGGTTTTTTCCTCACTGCTATTATATGTTTTTAATTTAAAAAGATACAACAAATGTACTTAGTGTGATTGGTTATGATTCTTGCTTTTCTTTAAAATGGTCATGGTTCGAATCTCAGTATGTGTCTTTTTAATGAATAAAAAAAAGTAATTGTGAAGACCAAAATGTCCTTCCTACTTTCACTCTCGTTGCAGGAAATTTGAAATGGAGCTCCAGTTTTTTCCTTCAGTGTATTATATTATGTGTAGATATGATTTTATAATTTATTTATTTTTAAAATAAAATATAATTTTCTTAAATAAAATTAAACTATGGTAAGATAATCTTGTTTTTTCAAAACTATAAATAAGAGCTTTAGCTTCTGCTTTTATATTATACAAAAGTACTTTTCGACTTTTCAAAAGTCGAGCTTTTAGAGGTGTTTGGCCCTGCTTAAACTTTTGAAGCCGAAAAACACTTCTAAAAGTCAGGCCAAACATAGGCAATAAATTTTCGGGTGTGACTACGGTGACATGCATGTCACGGTGACTTGCACTTTCCGATCGACCTCAGTTAGGATTAGGTCGACCTCATTTAGAATTCGGTCGACCTCATATAAGATCCGGTCGACCTCATTTAGGATTCGGTCGACCTCATATAGAATCAGGTCGACCTAATATGTTGTTTCAGTGTAAAAACAGTTCATGGTGCCTACTTTGGCTATTCATATCATACAATTGGCTAGATGGAAATTGAAGACTAATGACTTGTTTTGAAGCTGGAGTGTCCCTCTACATATTGAAGTGATTGAGAGCTCGATAGGAAGTACAGAAGACCATTTTTGAACCTCATCAAAAGGCTATGCCAAAACTGGGAAACTGCCTGGAAATGGCTAAGTCTGGAAACGTGTTTGTGAAGCCTATTTTGGAGCTCAATTCGAGAAGCATGAATGCGAGTCGAGTCCAGGAGCCTCTACCACGTTAAATTAGGTATGTTTTTATACAAATTCAAGGCATTGGATGAAAGATTGGATATCTGTAAGGCTTCAAACAAAAGGGTCGAAGTTGCTACGAAGGCTGTTTTCTGGCAGACATCGAGCACAAGCAAGCGGCCAGAAAAACAGCCTTCATAGCAACTTCGAGCCTTTTGTTTGAAGCCTTAAAGATATTCAATATTTCATCCAATGCCTTGCCTTTGTATAAAAAAATACGTAATTTAACGTGGCAGAGGCCCCTAGACTTGACTCGCATCCAAAGTAGGCTTGACAAACACGTTGCCAGACTTAGTCATTTTCAGGCAGTTTTCCAGTTTTGACATAGCCTTTTGGTCAGGTTCAAAAATGGTCTTCTGGACTTTCTATTGAGCTCCCAAGTACTTTAATGTGTAGAGGGACACTCAGCTTCAAAACAAGCCTTTAATCTCCAATTTTCATCTAGCCAATTGTAAGATATGAATCTCCAAAGTAGGCACCATGAAACTGTTTTTACACTGAAACAACATATTAGGTCGACCTGATCCTATATGAGGTCTAGCCAATTTTCACCATCCCGAGTCTCTTTGTTACCATATTAAAACTTAAAAAGAAGGTTTAAGGGTTACTGTTTATTAGGGTCACGTCATTAGGGAGACAAGTTCTGATTTTAAAACTTAAAAAGAAGGTTTAAGGGTTACTGTTTATTAGGGTCACGTCATTAGGGAGACAAGTTCTGATTAATTAGGCCTCTTCTAGGTTTCGTAGCCCTTCTTTTATTTTATTTTTTCTTTGTTTTTCGAGGAATTGGAGAGCTCTGATTAATTAGGCCCCCTTATAGGTTTAGTAGACCCTCTTTGCTTTTGTTTGTTTAACAAGAAAATGAGTGGGTTTTTCAATATTGTGGGGAATTTATATATAAATTTTTAAAGTGTCCGGAAAAAAAAAATGAGAAACAGCGTAAAAGGGAAAACAGAAAGATTCAAATCAGAAATCAAAAACCAAAAAGCCTCATTAATAAAAGTTGGGGCAGACGCATTAAAAAAAAAGGGCAGACGCATAAAAAAAAAAGTCGGGCAGGCCACTGTCATCCCAAATCTTCAATTTTTCCAGCTTTCCTTGAATCGTCTCTCCAACGCAGTGGGGGAGGAAACCCGAAGGAGCAGAGAAGCCCAAGAAACTGTGAGAAAAATAGAGTTGGGGAAAGGAAAATTTTCAGTTCCCTTCTTCTGAAATCAGCCGCCCTGATGGGGTTTTCTCTGTTCCCTACATGCATTGGTTCGCGGTTTGACTGGGATGTGTGTCTATATATACCTAGGATGTTTCTTTGCATCACAAACCAGTTTCTCGCTGCTATTCATTTTTTCTTGCTCTTGAAATTATCTAGATGGTGGCTCACAAGCTGTTGGCGGATCTTAATGATCGAGATGGTCCACATACATTGCTTAAGCTTCGTTTGTTGAATGCGTGGGGTTCTTATTCCATTAAGAATCCAGAACATATTTTTTCTTATTGTACGCTATGGAACGACGAAGAGGTTGGTTCTTTTGAATTTTGTTAAGTGTTTCGAATTGTTTTGATTTTTTTGCTTATGTCGCTTTTCCCTTCTTTTTTACTTGCAGGGGACGCTGGTTCAGGGGTCTGCTGTGCCTACTTTGATTAGCCATTTTCGTGAGATTTTGCGACTTGGTTCTGTTTATTTTGTTTCTGGGGTGAAGGTGCAGCCTCCTGGCAGCACTTATCGGTGTTGCTCCCACAAATTGAGCATTGTGTTGTCTCAGGAGACTGTGTTTAAGGAGGTTGCTGAATCAGATCCTCCTTTTTGGCAAGATGCATTTGAATTCGTTCCTTTTAGTTCTCTTCAGTCTCGCATTGGGTCTTCTGTTTATCTTACTGGTGAGTATTTGTTGTCTGTTCTTCTTATTGGTGGTGTTGTGATATTGTTAAATCGTTTGTTTTGTTTTTTATTGTAGATATTGTTGGATATGTGGTGAGTGTTGGTGGAATTTCTCATTCTGTTAACAATTTTGGTGATACGGTTCGTAGGGATGTGGTTCTGCAGAATGAAAGGTATACTGTTGTTTTTATGGTTCTGTTGATCCGTTATTGATGTCTGTTGTTTGTTCTCATGTGTTGAGTTGTTTTGTTAGTCACATGAAGGTGACAGTTGCTCTTTGGGGACCCCAAACTTTGTGTGTTGATCATGAAAGGATTATGGAGCTTAGCACAGCTGGGGCTGTCTTACTTGGTTTTTGTAGTCTCAAGGTTTCTGGTACCTCATCAGGTAAGTTATTGCGATTTTTTGTTTTGTTCTTGCATTCCTTTTTGTTTAGTGGTAATTGATATTTGTTTTGTTTTTGCAGGTGACTTGGCATTATATAGCACACCTGCTACTCGGTGTGTTTATGAGCCGATATCAGAGATGACTGAACTCATTCGTTCTGTGTATGTGGTTTGATTGGTTTTTTCTGGCAACTTTTCCCTTTTCTTCTTTCATGATTTATTTGTTTGTTATAGGTGCTTTGCTGAGAGAAATTCCGTTGTCTATATTCCTCCTCGATTCTCTACCTTTGAGGAGGCGACTTCATTCGAAGAGCAATGCACGAAAACTCTGGAGGAATTGATATCTCTATGTGATCCAAATTATGTTAATGTATGTTTGTGTCTTTCCTGTTTCATTCTATTTTTGTTTGTCTTCCTTTTGCTTATGTGGTTTTGAATGTTTGCAGCTCACTCGGTATCATTGTTCGGCTCGCATAGTTATTGTTGATTCTTCTAGGCAGTGGCATTATGTTGGTTGTGATTTTTGCTCAAAAGCTACTAAACCGTATGGTGATACTGACTCCTGGTGTGAGAAGCATCGTCGCCTTCAACCTTGCCAGACTAAGCAATGGTAATTCATACGAAGTTTTTTTGGGTGTTGGGCATTGAGTTATGCTTAGCTTAATAATGTTTGCCTCATTTTCTTTTCGCATTGTATCTTTGTGTTATGTACTTGCTGTAGTTGGGATTAAACTGTGTTATGGTTTGTCTGTTTTAAATTTTGCAGCTATAAAATTCACATTACTGTGCGAGATGATACTGGTTCTGCTACGTTCGTTTTGCTGGGGAAGGTTGCAGAGGATCTTGTGGGTGTTGATGCAGCTTCACTTTTGGCTAGGTTCCCGTTCCAACGTGGTCAGCTGCCGCCTGATCTTTTGGCTCTCGAAGGTCGTGAAGTTAATTTTGATGTCCAGCTTCCAAAGCCACAATATTTGGGTAGAGGTCCTCCTGAATTTTGTGTGCTGGCAACTCCTGAGAAACGTGTTAGTTTGAAGCAATCCTCGGCTCCTGTGGTTTCTGTTATATGTTATGCTAAGTATGCGTTGCTTTTATTAGTGTGGTTTTGTCCAATTGTTTTGTATGCTATTTTCAATTTTGTTTTCTGGTGATAATGGTTTCGTATTTTATCGCCCTTTATTTTTTAGGCCACGACTTTCTCCAGGGATATCTGTTTGTCAAGCCCCGTCTGTTTATAGTTATGTTCTTTCTTAGATTTTGAGTTATAATAGGATGTTTGTTTCAGAGATTTACTGGGTGTTTTTTGGTTGCAGAAAGGGTAAGGGAGTGAAACAGTATGTTTCTTTCTCTGCCGGGGAGACTTCTTCTGCTCCATCAAAGCAGGATCGTTCTCTGTCTGCGAGGTTTGTCCATACAAGTTTGTAATTTTTTTATTCTTAGTTTGGTTACTGTTCGTAATCAAGTTCTTCTTTGTATTTTTTTGTAGCTTGAGTAAATCGATTTCTCATGTGAGCGATATTTCTGATGAAGATGATCAAATCCATCTACGTAGGACAAATGTTCAGAATCGTTTATCGTCTTCTGTCATTGATGAATCACTTTTGCCAGTGTTAGTGTTCACTTTTGGTTGTCTTATCAGTGCTGTTTTTCTTCGTTCTTGGTTGTCTAATATTATCAGTGCTGATTTTTTTGTTTTGTTTCTTCTTTTTGTATTTGATAGGGAACCAGTTTACTTACCAGAGGAACATGTTATTCGACGTCGTCGTCGTTTGGTTTTAGCTGGACATGCGATAGGGCAATCTTTTTTGGCTGAACCTGACATTTGTTGTGCATTCTCGGATGATGTATCTGCTTCATTATCGGATGATACATTTGTTCCTCCAACAGAGCATGATGCTACATTGGTTTCTGAAATTCTTCTTGAAGTTTCGAAATCCAAATCTAAATATTGTGATCCGAAGCTGAAACATGGAAATGATGTCTCTGTCATTGATGTGGAGAAGGATACTGTTCTGCTTTCTGAGATTGTTGTACCAACATCAGTAGCTTCAAAGAGTAAGAAGCGACGTTCTTGCTCCAAGAATCCGAAAGATGATGTGCTGCAGAGTCATCCGGCTATGCCTTCAGAGGATGTTTGTCCAGCTTTGAAGGCCAAGCATCGACATTCTCGAACAAAAGGTGCATCTAGGACTGGGAAATTTTCTTCATATAAGAAACTCTTGAATTTAACTGCTCCTGTTAAAGAGCCAGTTGTTGATGAAAATATTCAGACAAAGATTGCATCTGAGGATGTTACTTTGCTTTTTGAGGTTGTTGCACCAACATCAGCATATTTAAAGAGTAAGAAGCGGGGTTCTCGCTCCAAAAATGTGCAGGCTAATCCAGTTATGGCTTCGGAGGGTGTTTGTCCAGTTCTGAAGACCAAGCATCAACGGTCTCAAACAAAAAATGCATTTAGGAGTGGGAAACTTTCTTCACAGGACAAACTCTTGAGTTTGGCTACTCCTATTAAAGAACCATCTGTTGCTAAAAGTGTTCAGACAGAGATTGCATTTGAGGATGCTGTTTTTATGGAAGGGGATGATGCTTTAGAAGGTCAGCCAGCCATGGTTTCGAAGGTTGTTGCTCTAACTTCTGAGCCAAAGGTTCGACGGATTCGATCCAAGAATACGACTAGGAATGAGAAGTCTGGTTGGTCGGCAAAAGCTATCCATGTTGAGAAAAATACTGTGTTAGATGATATTGCACATGTGCAAGGGGAAGGTATTACTATTTCCGAGAAGAACTTAGCTGTTGGTAGGTCAAAACGAAACCGAACCCCATCAAGGAAGGCTCTCGAAGCGGTGGCATCCCAATCAATGCCATCTATGGGACGAGCTTCTTCACAGAAGCGAAAGCAGCCTATAAAGTGATCCTTCATCCTGGTGTTCAGACTCTGCTGTTGGTATAGTTTCTATCTATATATGGTTATTCTTTTGTTTAACGGATCTGAAGCTATGGCACTTCTGTTTTGCATGTTTAGCCTTTTGTCGGGTGTGTTTGTGGTGTTCTATGTATAGGTATTGTGACCGGTAGCTTCGGAATGTTTGAATATCGATGTGTCTTATGCAGATATGTACATTAATGAAGTTAGTGTATATGGTGTTTGGTGTTTATAATGTAGCATATGTATATTAATGAAGTTAGTGTATATGGTATCTGGTGTTTATAATGTAGCATATGTATATTAATGAAATTAGTATATATAATGTCCGGTGTTTATAATGTATCTGGCGCCAAATCTTTTTGGTTTAATGTAGGCATTGTGTTTGTTGAATTAGAAAGAGTCTATGGTTCATGCAATTTATTTATTGGTTATTTATCTTATGATTTACAGATGGACGAAGAAGCTTTTACACTAAAATAATAGTTGATTTTTACCATTTTGCTCTAAAGTCTACTGTATTTTGTGTGCAATGTATAGCATACTGTATTTTGCTTTGGTTGTCTTTTTCTAAGGGAATGTAACAATGGGACGGATAGGTAATCAAAAGTAGAGCTTATTTTACTTATCATAATTTTTTAGATAAAGCTCTCCAACTCAACTTTTGTTTGGAAAAAAAGAATTTAATCATTTTTATATTTGACTTAATCATTAAGATAATTATCTTATCTGATCAAGTACCTGAACCTCGGTTAATTGTGTGGTTTGAAATAGAAAAACTAACATACAGGGAACATAATGGCAGACAAGGAGCAGTAGGGCGGCTGCTATAGAAGGACATACTGGTGTCATTGTCTTTAAATTCTCTTCTTCTTCATTTTTTTTATCATTTTGCATGTGTGTTTTCCTCTGCAGTTATTACATGCAAGTAAGAAGAACTTGTGCTCTGTATAACTAGCTGCTATAGATGAGAAAGTGTTGCAGATGCTAAAAAGTGAGATGATATCGTGTAGTGGTTAACATCTTCTGTTGTCATTGTTATTATATCCTCCTCTTCTTCTCTCTCTGTTACTTTGCATGCACTTTTTCTTTCCAGTTATTACATACTACTTAGAAGAATCTTTCTTCTGTACAAGTAGTTGCAATAGCCATATATACATTTATATCTTACCACTATTCAGTTTCTGTTTATAACTATTACGTATGTTTTTTTCAGATTCTCTTTAAGCCACCTACTTATAGACGCCTGTCTTCATTTGGTTGGAGAATTGATGGTACTTCTTTTATTTGTTTGTTCTGTAAAGCTATTTTAGAACTTCTTATTGATGTAATTGTATATATGCTTACAGTCTATCGTTAATATTAGGCATCCATTCCTCAGGCAGCAGATCCTATTGTTGGTCGGCAGTGTCGTCGGAAACGTGATTGGTCTAATGGTTTTTCTGCTACTATTAGTCCTTCCACTGCTCCTTCGAAAACTCCAGTTAGGCGATGTGTTTGTCCATTCAATAGGCGATCTCGCCTGTTTCCTTTGTTAAATGAAGATGGTTTAGTTCCAGTTTCAAGTTCAGTTCATGAAGCTAATATTCCATTATCACTGGTTTTAGATCGTCAATCACCACAGGTATTTCCTTCTGATAATGATGTGTCGACATATGATATTCCACCAGCACGTCAACAAAACTTTGTTAGGATTCTGGATTTTGGCATCCCATCTTGCGAATGTCAGTTTTGTGGGGCTCAATTCTGGTTTGAAGAACGTCTGAATCGACACCATACTAGAAATCCTGTCTTTGGATTGTGTTGTCAAAAGGGTTGTGTTCGTCTGCCGTTCTTGGAGAAAACACCAGATTATCTAGAACAGTTGTTGGGAATCAATGGAGGTCCCATGGCTGCACATTTTAGAGATCACATACGCTCCTATAATGCTGCATTTTCATTTACTTCATTTGGAGCTCAACTGGACCCACGAATAGCTCGCACTAGAGGGCCGTATTCATTCACTATATGTGGGGAGAATTACCATCGTATTGGATCTTTACTTCCTGTTGAAGGTCGTCGACCAAAGTATGCACAACTATATGTTTTTTATCCTGAATCTGAGCTGTCAGATCGTCTAGCAAATTTCTCATCTTCTGAAACACGGTTAAGGCCAGATATTATTTCTGGTTTAATGAAGTTGTTTGATGTCACGAATGAGCTGGTTAAATCTTTCCGTCGGATTCAAACTCAGCTTCGTGATCCAGCAGCAAACAATTTGCGTCTTCGAATTGTTGGTGCTCGTGATAATTCTTCCAGGCAATATGATCTTCCCACTGGATCTGAACTTGCTGGTTTAATACCAGGTGATTTTGTTGCTGATAAGGCAGACCGTGACATTATTATTGATAATAGATCTCATGGGTTGCAAAGAATCAGCAGTCTCAATCCTAAGTTCGATGCTCTCCATTTTCCGATCCTATTTCCATATGGAGAGGATGGCTTTCATGAGCATATTAGTTATGATGAAATGTATGCTCCTGCTACTTTAAAAAGAAAATATGTAACTCAGCGAGAGTATTATGCTTTCCGTTTGCAGCATCGAGAACATGAGGGACAAACTTTAATGCGAGGTGGTAAAGCTCTGCAGCATTATATAGTTGATGCTTTCTCTACTATTGACAGAATCGACTAGCATATTTGCGAGCTAATCAGGAAGACTTACGGGCCGAATTGTTTGATGGTCTTGCTGATGCATTTGAGCGTGGTGATGTTACTGGTGATGATTGTGGTCATGTTGTTCTGCCAGCTTCACATACAGGTGGTCCTCGATATATGAAACAACTTTACTTAGACGCAATGGCTGTCATCAATCATTTTGGAAATCCAGATCTGTTTATTACATTCACGTGTAATTCTCAATGGCCAGAAATTACAGAATCATTTCTTGACTTATGTGGAACACGAAGTGAATTAAAGCCTCAAATTGTTGCTCGAGTCTTCAAGATGAAGTTGAATGCTCTTCAAGATGAAATATCTAGGTCGAATTTCTTTGGGAAAACAGTTGCAGGTATGCTGTTTTTGTTAACTTCGTTGCTTTGTAGAACCAAGCCTGATGAAATTTTGTCATTGCTACTTGTGCCTAATTCACAAGTTTATGTTTTGTATTTTTTTGTAATTATATTCAATACACGTTGATATGCTATAGTGTCTCTTTGTTATATTTAGCTGTTATTATGTACTTTGTTCTTATGCAATTTTTTTTGTTCTTCAATTCAGAACTGAAGACAATTGAGTTTCAGAAAAGAGGTCTCCCTCATGTCCATATACTTGATAGACCGATAATTATACATGTTTATACCCCTTTTCTGAAGCCGTTTGTGATGAGGAATCTCGTGTTTTAAGCCGATTTCACGCTAGGGTATGTGTTTATGTCATATTTCAGGTCCCGGCGTTGGAATCGAGGCGGAGAAACAAGTTCTGGGTCGAAAGGAGCGAAGTTGTGACGAAGGCGGCTGATGCATGAAAATACCCGGCCATGACTGAAAATACCCGGCCGGGTATTATTCATTTGGGCGCCCCGCGAGAAACAGAAGGGGGCCCGGGCAAAATGGCTAAAATCCCCGGTCGGGGATTATGGAGAGTGACCGGGGATTTTCCCTTAAGTGAAACGGTGAGTTTTGGAAATACCCGGTCGAAACCCAAAATACCCGACCGGGTATTTCGACCGGGTATCGCGACCAGGCAGCTGATAAAAGGGAGAAGAAGGCCAACATTGAAGGGTTCCGAGTTTTTGAGAGAGAAAGCGATACCTAGAGAGAGAAAGCGACGAACCAGAGTTCCCAAGCGCCATAGATCGATCTTCATCACCATTGGAGCCCGGCTTGAGCTTGGAGAAGTGCGATTAAACGTCCAGGAGCAGAAATCCGTCTTCACAGTATGATTTCCGCGTCTGAATCTGCTTTTGCTTCTTTCTCTATGGAGTAGTTCCCCCATTCATCTGGGTATGGGGAACCCTAGATTTGTATGCTAGGTCTGATTGTATGAACCCAAGTACAGAGTTTTTGAATTGATTATATTCGATTGAGGTTTGAATGATTGAATGACTTGAATCCTGATCAAATTCCTGTTGTTTCTGCTTTGACCTAGAATGAGAATATCTGCCTAGGTTGATAGAGTATCCTTAATCGAAGGTGGCGAATTGGTGACTTTAGTCGAGGAGCCAATTCGCTATTCTGTACCGAATTCAATTCGGTAGTGGAGGTTTGGTTCGCTAGGGCCTCAATCTGTTTACTCCGGTGGAGGTTAGTCGCCCGCTAGAGACTCAGATTGAGAGGGTCTGAAGACCTTTAGTCGAGACTTCGGACTAATCGAGAACCTTCCGCAGTATAACTTTCATGAAAACTGAACTTGGTAAATTGCAATCCGACTTAACTGCAGTCTAGGGGAACCATATCCGGGTGACCTCTCTTGACTTGACAACAACCGCTTACTTGCTTTGTGTTTTTGTTTGCTTGAGTTGCACTAAAAGTTCACTGCTAAATAACGAGAATTCACCGAGTAGTCATCACATCTAGGACCCGGGTTGATAATAAAACCCAAACCCGCTATACTACGCTTTAGGAAGTGGTTACACTTGGCCATTTTCTAGAGTGACAGTAGGAGTGAGTCAATACTGTTGTGGTTAGATAAAAAAAGCAAACTGATATCTCCGGCTGATATTGATTCTACCATATCTGCTGAGTTACCTGATCCTCAGTTGGATCCTATCGGTTATGAAGCTGTGACTAAGTTCATGTTGCATGGTCCATGTGGTACTGACAATCCAAATTCAGTTTGTATGAAGGATGGCTTATGCAGCAAATTTTTCCCTAAAAAGTTTAATTCGGAGACAACCACGGATCAGTATGGATATACTGTTTACCGAAGGAGAGATACAGGAATTACGGCAACTAAAGGTACAACTATTTTGGATAACAGATTTGTTGTGCCCTATAATAGAAACTTGGTTGTACCGTTTCAAGCACACATTAATGTTGAAGTGTGCCATCAAGGTCGTTTGATAAAATATTTATTTAAATATATTACAAAAGGACCGGATAGATCTATGGTTGTTGCTGACAATGCTTCAGATGAAGCATCCACTTCTGCTGTACCAAATATAAGGCCACCATTAGATGAAATCAAGCAATATTTGGACTGCAGGACTTTATCATCCTATGAGGCTGCATGGCGTATTTACGAGTTTCCTTTTCATGAAAGAACACCTCCAGTACAGCGTTTATGTGTTCATTTGGAAGGGAAGCATTGGGTCTCATATAGAAAAAACGAAAATTGAATGATATTCTCAGCAATCCAACTGTTTCTCAAACACCATTAACTCAATGGTTTGCTCTTAATCGAAGAGATCCCCATGCTCGCACACTGTTATATGCAGAAATACCAAACAAATATACATGGAGCTGTAAAGACAAGGATTGGTTTCCAAGGAAACAAGGTTTTACAATTGGTAGAGTTGTGTATATCCATCCTGGATGTGGAGATACATTCTATTTACGTCAGTTGTTGACTAAAGTTCGTGGTGCAGTCAGTTATGGTGATCTCAGAACTATCAATGGAGTTGTATGCAGAGACTTTCAAACTGCATGTCAACGTCTTGGCCTTTTATCTAATGATGATGAATGGTTACTTGTGATTAAAGAAGTCAGCCAATGGGGAATGTGTCCGTTGTTACGTTACTTATTTGTAACAATGCTTATGTTTTGTGAAATAGCAGATCCCTTGGCATTTTTCAATCAAATTTGGGAACTACTTTGTGAAGATATCACATATCACTGTCAAAGGGAAGTTTGCTTCAACAACAATCTCATTCCAAATGATTTGCCAAAGAACAAGCTGTTATGGGAATTACAACGCATGCTGGATACATATTCTACTTCTCTTTCCCAATTTAACCTTCCTTTGCCAACATTTGCGGAACCATTTGCTGATAATTTTCAGAATGTTGATTATGGTAATTGTATTGTTGCAGAAAAAGCCGAATCAATCTTGCTCCCAAGTATTACTCTTTTGAACCCTCAACAAAAGCGAGCATTTACAAGGGTAATGAATTCTGTTGAAGGTAATGACAATACCTTTTTCTTTCTGTATGGGCATGGAGGTACAGGGAAGACTTTTCTGTACAAAACTCTCGTGGGAAAGTTAAAAGAACTAGGTAAAAGTGTTGTTGTGGTTGCTTCTTCTGGCATAGCTGCTACTCTACTTCCTGAGGCAAGTACAACTCATTCTCGGTTCAAAATACCTCTAGAGATTGATCATGCTTCTTCGTGTAATATATGAAAAGGTACAGCTCTTGCTGAATTATTGTGTGATGCTTCTTTAATAATATGGGATGAAGCACCAATGATTCATCGACTGTCTTTTGAAGAAGTAGATCGAGCTCTGTGTGATATTATGAGCATTCCTTTCAAAGGACCAGATTATAGACCATTTGGGGGTAAAGTTGTGCTCCTTGGAGGTGATTTTCGTCAGACGCTCCCAGTTATTCCTGATGCCGGTAGGGAAGATAGTGTTGATTCTTCTCTTACTCGATCTTATCTGTGGAATTTTTGCATGGTGCTTCACCTATCCCAAAATATGCGTCTTCTACCAAATAGCATAAATGAAGAACCATTTTTTGATGGGATGTCTTTTGCAGAATGGACTTTGAATGTTGGCAATGGTAGCATTCCAGGTAGATCTTTTCATGTCAACCAACCTGCAGATTGGATTGAAATACCTACTCAGTTGCTTATTGAACCTTCTGATGATTGTCTATCTACAATAGCTGCTGTAGTGTATGATGCATTTGCTGAAAATTACTACAGTATATCATATCTTGCTGAAAGATCAATCGTTACTCCAACGAATCAAAATGTTTTAGAGTTAAATGATCATATGCTAGCTATGGTCCCAGGTTCAGTAAGATCTTATTTCAGCTGTGATACTGTTCATTCTGATTCGAATGATGCAGCAGCTATTAGTTCAGAATATCCAACTGAATTTCTGAATTCTCTTTCTTTTAATGGGTATCCTGATCATCAGATTGATCTTAAGGTATTCACGCCTATCATATTGTTGCGAAATCTCAATCCTTCAATTGGATTATGTAATGGAACAAGAATGATGGTTGTCTACTTAGGTCACTATGTTATCAGAGCTATTATAATGGGAGGCACATTTGATGGGAAGACTGTTGCTATACCAAGAATAGTTCTCAGTATTAATGATTATCGATGGCCATTTGTGCTGAAACGACGGCAGTTTCCTGTCCGTTTATGTTATGCGATGGCGATCAATAAAAGTCAAAGACAGACATTACAACATGTTGGTGTATACCTATTAAAGCCGGTTTTCAGCCATGGTCAACTATATGTAGCCATCTCTAGAGTGAAGTCCCCTGCTGGTTTGCATTTTCTCATCCTTAATGAAGCAGGCATTCCATCCAATTACACACGAAGCATTGTGTATCCAGAAACTTTTTCTGAACTTGAAGAATCTGCTACAACTGCCTTGGGTTGAATTTATTGGTACGTTATATTTTGTCCGACATACTTTGTTCTATAATTTATTGTCCTATTTTTTCTAATACATATATTGTTTTTCTAGGAACCATTTTGCAAATGTCAGTTATCTTTATTCTGGGTGTGATCTATAATGATAGCCGGCATATAAGAGGTAAAATTTTGTGTATTCTATTAATTATATACTGTAAAACAAATTTTGAATGGTAGACATTAGACAATTTATTTTTGACAATTATTTACTTCTGCGAAACAAATCTAGGATGCTATTGTTATAGAGAGTTACTTTTGTTGCTGTATTTTTCTGCATCCTAAGTAAAAGCTGCAAACACGTGAATTGTGTTTGTTTGATATGGAATTTGCTCATTATCCTTAGGAGGAACTCTTTGCAAGCGTTTTGAGCTTCCAGCTTTGTGATTTTCTACTCGATTATTAGTAATGCAGGTATTGAAACTATTGCTTATCCGAATAAATTTTAATTCTACAAGGTATAAATTATGTTTTAGGCTCATGTTCATGCTTTGTTGATCTTGAATTATGACTATGTCATCAATTTGTTCTTATTTATCTTATACATTGGCTTTCTTTGCAGAACTTATATGAATGGTTCTTGCTTCTATATATCCAGAAGATCCGTTTAGCAATGGTAAAACAACGATACTTCCTCGGTGAATTCAGAAACATGAAAATATTAGATACCAAAGTTGGAAGTATAATAATATATAGTGAGGTAGATGGCAAGGAATTTGATTTCGTATTTAAAATATCCTTATTTGTATATTTAGAATTAGTCTATAACTTTTTCTCTCTACATGAGTAATTAGTATGAACCTTTTAAAAAGACTAATGGTGATGTCAGTTTTTCTATATCATAGTATTGCTTAGCAAAGAATGTACGTTGTTATTTCTATGATGTATTTTGTGTTGGCAATATTATACTATTGCTGTCATTTGAAGTGTTGTTCGATCTCCTTCAAATAGCACTTATACAATAATTCAACCAGTTTTGTCTGCAATGGATGCATTAGATTCTTCCTTTTCGTTTTTAATGGTTGATGTTGAATTTGCAGTGCTTGGAACTGATTTGCTGATCCATTTGCAGATTTTGTAGTGAGGGAGCTAAATGCATGCAAGTTTGATGCCAAAGAAGCAAATGGGCTTCCTCTTTTTGTCATGGTTTTGGTTGAGTTTTGAAGGATCGGGTATGCTTGGATGAGAAAAAAGCATAGAACAATGTGTTTCTCAAGTTTTCAATTAGGATATCACTCTATTAAGCAAAGCCTCTGTTCTTTCTTTGTTATGTATGACATATAAACCAGAATGATAGCAAAATTATTATGTAATAACTATCCATGCTACGTACCGCCGCGAAGCGCGGGCTTCCAGGCTAGTATTATATATAGGGTGGTAGAAATTCCAAAGCTGTTACGATTATAGTAAACCATCCTTATCAATATAGTAAATTTCCTTTGCCATGAGAAAATATAACTTTTACCACAACGAGAAATTGCCGATGCCAACTTGATACATGCTATCTACCATAATAAATTAATAATAATAAATTTCATATTCTCTAACACGTTTTTAAAAATATCCACGTATTCTTATTTCAAAATATATCAAAACAAATTCAATTTTATAGATCGCTATGTGACACGATCCAGAAAGCCAAGTTTCCTTGTGTATTTTTCTCTCATCATTACACTACATTGACCATCTCTCCAATCAAATTGAAAAGAAACCTTCTTTAAAGCTTATTTAACAACTTGTCTTTCTCCCAATATAGCTATGTAAAACCAAATTTACATACAAGAGTGTAAAACTTGCTGAATTAATATATATATATATATATATATTACAAAGCAAGTGTATATACATACGTCTCTATAGTATTAATTAATCCAGCACGTAGCAGACTTCCATAAACGCGTCCAAATCCTCCCGGAAAAGCGGCACGAACGCATCCACGCTCCCGTCGCCGGCGAACGACGGCAGCAGAATCACCACCCCTTCCGTCGGAAAAAACGACGGCATGAACACGCAAGGACGACACCCGCCGCCGAAATCCAGGTCGTAAAACGGGAACCTCAGCCAGCTGTGCACCTCGAGATCCGGGGACAGCGCGGATCTGCTCACGTCCGCCGTGGGGACCAGCCCTTCCTTCTCAACGTCCACGTGGCTGGCGAAGTCAACGAACGACTTGAAGTAGCCGTCGTCGACTCCCACCACGGCGTCGTTTATCAGCTTCGCCGCGTAGGGCAACGGTTGCGTAAGGAGGTCGTCCACTCGGGAGGTTGGAAACGCCCATAGCACCAAGTTGCCCAAGTAGTCGTCGGGAATTTGAGGGTCGTTGACCATCCTGGTCCGACCGTCGACCGAGATTCGGAACCTGGTCGACTCGGACCCAGCAAGGTTACGAGCCTTGGTTACGGTTCGCCAGAGGTGAGCCGCCACGGAGACGAACGTGGTGTACGGTTTGGTTGATGAGGCGGAACACCTTGACTTCAACTTGGATAAGAAATCGAGTGTGAAATGAAGCTTGTGGAAGACGACGAGGGGTTTGGGATCTGTCACGTATATAACACGTGTGTAAGTTTTCGTAAGAAAGAAATAATACATTGTTTTGTACAAAAAGTGTAGAATTTGATAACGCGGAATCGAAATAGAACACATAACACAAGATTTTATGTGGTATTTTCGATCGATTGATTGAGACTAATTTAGGGTGAGTTCGGAACGAGCTCACGACTGATATTTTATTAGGGACTACATTGTGACGGCTTGCTAACGACAATCTCATAGCTAAGCTTATATATATATATATATATAGATGGATGCAGGGTAAAAATCCTAATGACAATCGAGTTTCCTTTCTTGACAAGGACAGGAAAACAAGAGACTTGTAAGGAATTAATTATTTGTTATTAAATAATTAATATCCCCAACAAAAAGATATACCACGCACGTACTTTGTGATAGTATCGACATATTTTACCAATACACTAATTGAAATAGGCTGATTCTTGGGCACCTCGGTTCTAGAATAGAACGTAACACAAAAAAATAGCAATATGTACGTGTATATATATAATACTTCATGTTCTCGGTTTTACTTGTCTAACTATCAATAAATTACAGAGAGTTTTTTTTCCACACATTAAACTATATGAATAATTCTAGATTTTACTGTGTCTCTAATGGTTTATTATAAGTTTATTAATTCCTAATTTAGTAATGAATATTCTCCACAATCAAATGAAAAAATGTTGATAAGGGATGAAATTAATTTACTAATTTCTAAATCGAACCCACCTTGAATGAAATACTGATTGACATAAAAAATTCATTTATACGCAAGAAACAAAAAGAGAACACACAACGTACACACCTGGTTTCAAATTCTCGTCAGAACGAGTCTGACTCGAACTAGCTCGAATCTTGGATTTGTACTCGACTCCTCTGTGCTCATACTCTACCACGGGAGGCTTCCGTGGCGCGAAGATCGTCCGATCAAGAGACGGCGAACGACCGACGTCGAGGCCGCGAGAAGCCCGACCCCACGCAACGAGAAACTCGCTGGTGGAACGACCATCAGCAACCAAATGATGAGCTGTGAACCCTACGACGAGGGACCCACATCCGAACCTCGTGAGCTGGACCTGAACCAGCTCCTCGACGTTCTTCAGCCCCGGGTGGAGGCTCCACGTGGCCGGAGACGGCGTCAACAAGGGCATCATGACCTCGTCCAGCCGGGCATCCGTGCTGGCTTCAACGAGCTTGACGCCGTCGTCGTTGAGGAGGATGAGCTTAGGGTTTCTGTTCTCGTCGCGCCCTAGCCGTCCTGCGAACTCGCGGTACTCGGCTAGGGCTTTCTGGAGGCCGAGCTTGATGGTGGCGTTGGGGGGAGTTGGTGGGCGGTAGGCGTAGATGACGGCGACGTGGGTGTCGTAGGTGGCCTTGTCGAAGACGGTGAGAGGGACATGGGTTGATGGAGGAGGAGGAGGAGATGTGGGTTCGTAAGTTGGTTTGAGGATGGTGGTGGTTTCTACTTTCACCTTCATCTTTCTTTCGTGGTTTCTCTTACCTTCTCTTTCTTTTCTTTCTGGGTTGTGTTATTTTGTGTTTCTCCAATTCGTGATTAACTGTATATATATAACTCAAGTTGATGGGAGTGATTTAATGACGATTTTGGAATTATATTCTTACATGTCCTATCAAAACAAAATCGCTTTAATGAGCTTGCAGTTTATACCAATGTGGAATACTGTGTGTTAGCTAGGGTGATGAGGATTCGAATAACGTCCAGTATTCATGAATCCAATCTAGATAGTCCAAAATCAACAAACTCAGTTTGAAACGGGGAGCGATGGAGAGTGTTGTGGTTATTATCCAAAAACAGAAAAAGGGACAGAAGTGGAGAACAGATATATATATAGTGGAAGTACGTAATGAAGTGGACAATTTAATTTGTAGTCGATCGCAATACTCAAATTCGGTGCATGTTTAATTAAAGTAGGAGTTACTACAATGCAAGTAAGTGGTCGTCAAATTGGATAGCAATTCTCTTGGCCCAAAAACTCGAGCATTGAAGAGACAAACGGAAGGTGGGCTGTCCTGCCCCGAAGCAGTAATCTTCACTTTTCGAATTACTATTTTCGTAGTTTCAATTCTTATCAGTTAAGTAAGACCAATTTTTGTATTAATACATTCACTCGAGTACTTTTTTTTTAACTACTATACCTTAATTTGTGTGGAGTGTCAATGAAATTGAGAGGATGTCAAGAGATTTATCCATGCTCTAAAAAACACATTCTCAAATTGACTAATTCATTCTACAAATGAAATTTTACTTGTATTAGAGAGGAACCAAAATTGAATATGGATAGTGCAACTCAATTGGTATCATTTCCAAAATTCATTTTTGTGCAATGAATAGATACATCACATGTTGGACTTACTCCACACTTCAGAGCATAACATAGCATGTCAAACGCAAATAATGCAATCATGTCTAGATTAATAATTTTTGCATTTAATAAAAGGTGCAGTTCACCCCATAGGAAAAAACTTTGAAAAAGTGGAGACTCAATATATAATCATAAATCCATGACTTATCAAAAAGTATGGTATTCAATACATATTATTATATTAACATGACCATAGTCTCATTGACTATATCACATCCTTTTCACTACAGTATAATAGGCGTTTGGCGTCGATTATTTCTTATGTTTTGTGTTGGTTTTCACCGACACAAAAATTGCATCGGTCAACCACCGAAATAACCGATTTAAATTTTATTGAGAAAGAATTAGTCATATCTCAGTAATCGAATAAAATTTAGAATGAAAAGAGACTACTAATTATACCAAGTGATAAATAAGCTAGAAAAACTATACCAGTTAGTAACTAACCTAGAAATTAAAATATAATCTATTTATCATAATTATATACGAATGAGAGCTTACAAAGGATTTATTTTTAACAAAACAATAAAAAAGGATCTTTTTGACAAGTTAAAGGATTTATTGCAAAATTAAAAAGTAGAAGGACTACTTTTGAAATTTGAAAATAGAATATTCTAGTAAGTTTAACCAGTTGCACATATAAACGAGTTTAGTGGCATGAGGTGCCCTTAAGGGCCATTTGCTTCGTTGATTTCGATGATGGATTTGGTACTTAAATCCATTCCATTATGGATTTAAGAACAATCCATCGTTTGTTTGCATTTTTTTATGGAGCAAATTCGTGGGGCTCACGGATTTCAAGTGTCCAAATCCGTGGACCTCACGGACTTGTAAATCCCACATATAGATGTGGTATTTGTAACATGCCAAAAATTCATGATGAGATTTTATCCATATACCCTCGTGAACTTTTAAAATTCCAAGGTTTCCCTCACATTTACCTATTTTACATTATAAATAATTAATTAACTAACAACAAAAAAATAATATAAATATTCAATTAATATGCAAACATGAGTAAGTTTTTTTATATCTTATTCTTGTGTTCTAGTTTTCTTTGACCTTTTCACGAAACGTGCAATTTTTTGTTCCCCGGTACTAATATATGTTGTTATATGTTACTTTTGAAAAGGAGGACAAAGAATTGGTAACCGATATACGTTACGTTAAAAGTTAAACGAAATCTTCCCATTTATTATTATTGTCCGTGTGAAAATATTATGCTTATTAGTACGTATTGTTTTTATTTTGTGTACATAGCATAAACATGACAAACAAATAGAAAATGATAGTATTGTAATTTTGGACTTTAAGTTATAAATCCCAAACACTTAAATCCTTTATAAAACATCTCAACAAACAAAGTATTGTTACAAATCCATAATATTTCAAATCCTTAATAAATCCTTGAATTTTTCAATTACAAAACCCTCATTTTTAAATCGGGCAAATGCCACATTTGATCACCGAGATTACTAAATCGTGTCATGTTTAGTCACTAGAAAAATTTAATATCAATTTTGGTCACTTGAATTACTGAAACATGTCACATTTAGTCACTCTCCTGTTAGCCTCCGTCCAACTCCGGTCACTCGAATTACTGAAACATATCACATATAGTCACTCGAATTATTGAAATATATCACATTTAGTAACGCTCCCATTAGTTTCCGTCCAACTCCATTAATCGAGTTGGACGGAAACTAACGGGAGAGTGACTAAATGTGACCTGTTTCAGTAATTCGAGTGACCAAAATTGATATTAAATTTTTCTAGTGACTAAACATTACACAATTTAATAATTTCAATGACCAAATGTGGCATTTATCTTTTTTTAAATCATAAGTGAAGTGTGTCCACCAATTCAAATAATTAAGTCGCATCAGAAGTATTTCACCCCTACATAATGCACTGACATAGCCCAGTCGGAAGGGGCTATATGTCATAATGATAAAGTATCGTAATGGAATGTCAATGCAAGGAATCTATCATTTTAACTAAGTTTATACGTATGATGAGTTGAAACTTGAAAGATGTTGATGGCACTTATTGTGCACATCTATGATTATTATGTGTACAAGGTGTACGAAGCCATAGTGGAACCCCGTTAGTAGAGAAGGATAATATAGTATGAGCTCTGTTATTACTGTGCTGCTACGGATCGGGAAACTGTTGGAATCGATAGAGTAGAAAACGAAAAACAGAAAGCACACGACACACGATTTACGTGGTTCACTAACACAATGTGTGTTAGCTAGTCTACGGGCAGGAGAGCTAGTTTTACTATATCGAGAAGATTACAGATTATAGAGGAGATGAGAAGTATTTATACTTCTCCATGTGGGTCTAAACCTAATCCAATCTAGTAAAGGAAACGGTTACAGATTCCAGTCGTAACGGCTGATAGTCCGATTCAAGTCACATCAACAAGCTCATAAATGTGTAGCTCAATAAATGAATACGAAAATGATTTAACGAGATATGTCGGGTTGGTGTATCTTAATAGTGGAGTTCAACCATTTAATGGCTACAAGGTTAGCGGTGGGAAACCGAATACTCTACATTCTAGGGTTAATTATAAGGTTGGTCACTGAGATTACAAAAGAGTTCATGTTTGGTCACAGAAAATATTTAATTCCATTTGTAGTCACTAAAATAAGTTAAATATTTCAAGTTTGGTCACTCTCCGTTTAACTCCGTTAACTTTTGCTTACATAGCAGTCAACTCTTATAGTTGACTGTTAAATGTATGACATGGCAATTAAAAATAATAAAATAAAAATTTAATTTGTATAATTTTTTTCGTTAAATACTTTTTATAATTTTCCACCTCATTTCCAATTATTAAAAAATTATTTTTTATAATCCAAAAACCCTAGCGGTCCTCCTTTGCATTTCACACCGCCGCCTCACAATCTCTCTTATTGCCGCCGCGTGCACTAACCGGTGAAGACTGAGCAAGAGATCAAGGATGTTGCTTCCCGTGATTGTCAGAATCGCGAGGGGAACGAATTTCGGAAGTTTGATTCATCTTCCCGTTGGTGGCCCCGTACCCTGCATAGAGAATTTTGCTTCGACAAGCTTGTGATTGCGGGAGGAGGAAGGAAAATCGGGAGAAAGGGAGGCAGCGAGAGCGATTGAAGCGGTAGCGATGGCAGAGAGGCTGAGGAGAGTCCAAATCTATCGTTGAAGTAGAGGCCAGCGGAGACAGGGCCGGAAGGTATGGAGATCTAGATATTTAGGTCGCGGCGACGTGGTTTTCGTCGATGTCCTGGAATTCCGCGCTCCGCATCGCGTCGAGCTAAGGTGTTGTTGAGCTCCGGAATTGAAGAGGCCCAGGTGCTTGATGGCGACGGGCCGATAGCCAGGGTGAAATCGGTGATGAGCTGGATGTGATTTGTGAGCTTGAGCAGGTTGACTCGCCTATACCATCACATTAGAAAGTGGCCAAGTGTAACCACCTACTAAACGTAGTATAGCGGGTTTAGCTTTCATTGTCAACCCAGGTCCTAGATGTGATGACTACTCCGTGAAATTCTTATTATTTAGCAATTGAATTGCAGTGAAGTGTTAACTAAGCTAAACAAACACAAAGCAGTAAGAGTTGTGGTTCAAGTTTGAGAGAGGTCACCCAGATATGATTCCCCATAGATTGCAGTTAAGTCGAGTAATAATTCTCCAAGTCTAGATTCAATGACATTTATACTGCGGAAGGTTCTTATTCGGTCTGAAGTCTCAACTAAAGGTCTTCAGATCCTCTCAATCTGAGTACCCAGTGGGCGACTAACCTCCACCGGAGTAAACAAACTGAGTCCCTAACATTCAAAACCTCCTCTACTAGAGTAAATCCAGTACAAAGCAGTGAATTGACCCCTCGACTAAAGTAGTTAATTCACCACCTTCAATAAAGGGAGCTCTATCAACCTAGGCAGATATTCTCTTTCTAGATCAAAGCAGGAAATACAGGAATTTGATCAGGATTCATGTAATTCAGAAAATTATGCCTCAATTGAATATAATCAATGTCAAAGAACATGTACTTGGATTCATACAACCAAACCTAACATACAAATCTAGGGTTCTTCATACCAAGG